ATTTGACAACGTCAAAACAGATGACTCTTTGTTGACATTTTATACTGGGTTTCCAAATGTCCAAACAATGATGGCTCTGTATGAATATTTGGATCCTGGTTTAAATGGCATGAATATAAAATACTGGCTTTCTGGCCAAGATAATTCACAAAAGGCTGCTGCTGGTAATTCAGTCAAGCAAGGAAGGCCTAGGACTTTAACGCCATCTGATGAATTTTTTCTGGTAATGTGCAGACTGAGGCAAGGATTTGCTGAAATGCATCTTGCACACCTGTTTAAAATTTCTCAGTCGACTGTAAGTAGAATATTTATTTCATGGATTAATTTCATGTACTTAAAACTTGGCCAGATAAATATCTGGCCATCCAGGAAAGTGGTGGATGAATCAATGCCTGAAGCTTTCAAAGAAAAGTATCCCAGCACAAGGGTAATAATCGATTGCACAGAGGTTCGCTGTCAGATGCCTAGCAGCCTTCTGTTAAACAGTGAATTATTTAGCTCCTATAAAAACCATACCACCCTAAAAGCACTGGTGGGAATTTCTCCCAAAGGATCAATAACATTTATAGGACAGTTATACACTGGCAGTATATCAGATAAAGAAATGGTTGAACGCAGTGGTTTTCTGAAACTACCCTTTGAACAGGGAGACTCAGTAATGGCTGACAAGGGTTTTACAATTGAAGATGTTCTTCCCCTGGGAGTGTCCCTTAACATCCCTCCCTTCCTTGGAATGTCTGACCAGATGCCAGCTGAAGATGTCATAAAAACACAAGAAATCGCAAGCTTGCGCATCCATGTGGAAAGGGCCATAAATAAAATTAAGAACTTTTTAATATTTGAGGGTGTTATCCCAATAAGTCAGTTCTGTACAGTAAATCAAATGTGGTGTGTGTGTGCGATGCTTTGTAATTTTCAAGATCCCATCATAAGTGCATAATTGTATCATTGACATACTTGCATTGAAGTACAGTTTTCCTATCTAAATGAAGTTTATTTAAGCCTCTCTAGATCCTTGCATAAACCCTAATTTGTGTAGTTCCAGAAAATATCCATCCTCCCACCAAATAGAAGGGATTGGAAATTCCACAGTGGGGGGGGGGGGGGATGGGGTCTCAAAAGAAAAAAATAATTCAAGAAATGTTTGAAGTTTCAGCTCAATTTCTAGACAAGGGGGGGGGTATCAAAAATCTCTTCTTTGGGGAATTTTCTGGAACTACACATTGCACTTGAATACATGTAGCATTTTAAAAGGTCCAAAAAATCAGAATAGACACTGAACTTGTAATTAATTGTCAATAAATGTTCTGTTGCAAATATGATAACTAGAGTGGAAGTACGCAATGTAGAATGCAAGCCCAAAGAAAGGAAATGGCAGTACACTGTACAAGAAATTATTTACAAATCCCCTTTTGCTATTATTATACCTGATTGCATGACAAAAGGGAAGAACTGGTATTAAACCTCACAAAATAAGAATAAGACCCCATCCCTCATTGATCTTTTTTAAGGAATGAATGATATTGTAGCCTTGCAAAAAAATGCCCCCTTTTTTAGGAAAATGGTATTTTTACCTCCTTTGATGCATATTAAAAATGAATGAATGGAAAGCAAGGGAGAAATTTCATTGTCTTGTGTTCATTGACAAGACATAAAGCAAAACTAATTCAATTAAAATGGTGAAAAAACAACAACAACAACAAAAACTTAATTTTGACCACAAAAATTTACAAATTGCTTGTGGATTACTATACAAAGGAAGTGAAATGAAGTGAAAACCCCTAAAGAATCTGGCATTTACACTGCCTTTGCTGCATGCTTTATGAAATTAGCAAAATAATAAGATACAAGCTTTTGCCTTAATTCTGCCCAGTATGCAGGGTCAAAGGCAATCCTTTCCACAGAGATCCCTTTCTTGTTGTATACAATAAAATCACACCAGGATGCTCCAGATACACCCATCTGGCCCTGAACTTGAGCAAAGTAAGCATGGTTCCTTTTGAGTTTACAATGTCCATTGACAGCTTCACAGCAGAATGTGGGATCCTCACAAGCCTCCAAAGGGGTAACATGAAATTTAGTTTCTGGACATTTAACCTCGGCTAGTCCAAAGTGACGCTCGCATCCAAAATCAACAACCCTTGCATCAGGGGAGCCAGCAAGAATTGGCATGTGTTGTGAAATGACCAGACCACAGTTGAGGACCTTGACTGGTGTCTTTCGGGTTAGCATTACTTTTTCATATTCTCTTAGTGCAATTGGCTCATATTTCAGTCCATGCTCGACATGTCTTGAAGAGAATGGCTTTGGGTTGATGAGCTCAGCTGCAAACTTGTCATGGTTCCTTTGCCTCTTACTTATTAGCTGAAATCTTGAAGCTGTAAATCTATATTTGCGCTCATTTTTCCAGCATTCAGAATTTGATTGCTCTCTTGTGGCAGATTCAATGCTGTTAATAGAATTTTCATCAACTTCAAGAGTCTGAATAAGTGCTTTCTCAGCATCGTCTAGATTGTCAGGAATGTCAAATGTGTCCATTGCAGATAATGGAAATCTGGGGTAGGTCAGTTCGGTTGGCAGAGAGTTGTTTAATCGAGGTATAGAGGCAATGTCAATGGTGGCACTAAAATTTGCCTCTGTATGGGTTAGCTGATAGCTACAGAATGATCCTGTCTGGCTCTCACCAAATTTGGTTTGCACAAAGGCTGTGGGAGAATTTTCTGCAGCCATTAATGACAAACCAAACTGTGGGTTTATACCTTGAAGAGTCTTCTTCAAATCAGCTTCTGCCTGGAGGTCATGAGTAGGTTTCATCCTGGCTTCATAGAGCAGAGACTTCACCCCTTCCCTTATTTTTGTTTCGTCAAGCTTTGTCTTGGAAACAGTTACTTCCATGACTGGTTGAGGATGGATGTTTTCCCCACGGCCTTTAGCATGCCACCTCTGAAGCTGTGAAGTGCATGCTAAATTGGGTTGTTCATCATCTTCATTGTCCAGGTCATCAGTTGCCTGGCTGTCATACAAGCTAAACTTGCATCCTTTAAACATTAATGCAAGGACATGGTTACAATAACCCACTTTTCCAGCTTTACACGAACAGTTGGCATGCATAACTTCACCTGAGACGATGCAAAGCACAAAACGAAGACTGTGTGGAGCATCATTCTTCCTGAAGCTATGATAGCATTTGGCTCTCAGGTAGAAGTACCTTTGATCGCTGTTTGCTTCTATATCTTTGAGATACTCATCCTTTAAAAATGTCTTCGCTTTTCTCAAGTTCGTGGGAATCGAATGATTGTCAGCATTACCCACTTTCTTCCCAGAACTTTCAATGTGCTGGTTCATTTCGGCCCTCGAAAACGGCGGCATCCTTTCAAGTGATTTTCCCCAGCCATCGCTTGGATACTTTGGGGCTGGAGTTTCAGGGGAGCGTTCGGCCGGCAGATTTGAAAGCCTGGTCTTTCTTTTCGTATAAATCTTATCTTTATCCGGATCGACCACCATCATATCTCGACCAGACGTGATATATTCTTGGACCCTATAATAAAAACAAAGATTATCAATGTAAAAGTTCCGCCAAAGCCACGTGTATAAATAGTTGCGTATGCTCACCGTTTGACAAAGCACGCTTTAGTCTTGAGTCCTTTAAGAGAATCACCGCGGCACCTTAGCCAAAACTTCAGTTCTTCATTCTTTAAGGATGAAGGATTTCTCCCATTCAAGGAAGCACCGGGTATATCGTTCTCGGTGAGAATAGTGTTGCTATCTGCGGACGAAGAGCTGGACAACGCCATATGATTTCTTTGTTGTTTACTTTACCGAGGCCTTTCCAACCTCGATTTCATGCGCTAGGTTCCAGACCGTTCCGCGTGGCGGCCATTTATGAATACGGTGTATAAAGGGCGTAATAATGTTTGTTCTTAAGTGTTCTCCAGTTAAGTAATCTAAGGAATTTCGGCTAATGAAACTGAAACTGTAGATTTTGAACATGCTGTGTGATGACTTGATCTTTCCCGATTTTGCTCGGCAACTTTTACTGAGCAATTGTTGGCGTTTGGAGCAACTGATATGCGTGAATATCACCCAAGTCATATTACCCAATTTTCAAACCTTAGGTCCACTATGGAAATTCAATTCAAGATGAGAGAGTGCCTTTTTGTGATTGTTACAGAAGTAGGGAGAACAATGAAGAAAACATTCCAAGCAGAAAAACAGCTGAGCTGTTCGTAAAATTTTTTCTACGTGTGTTGCAAAATATTTGAAGGATGATAAACACAATAGCCAATAATTTGCGCGAAAATATGCTCGTATATTCGTCCCTGGATATGATCTGTTCCTCGAAGCTCACAGTTTTGCATCTAGGAGCAGATAATGTCCGCTGACAAAAATTTCTCTATGTTTTCGCGCTAATAGAGGCTATTGTTTATTTGTTGTAACGAACGCAAAATAAAGCTTTTAGTACATGTTTTTTTTACGAAAACATCAAAGCATTACGGTAGCAACTTTTTTAATTTTCGGTATTTTTTTTTTTTGCTTTTTGGCATTCCAGTGAGCAAGTTTCCAGTATTTTACGAGCACAATCGGGAAAGGCGTAGTGGTAAATTGTTGAATAGATCAGAACGCCCAAGGAGGGGTGGAGTCAGGAGCGTGGAGTAAGCGTGACGGGGATTAAGAGAGTGGGGGTGCAGATACATTGAAATAAATTTAAAAGAAATGGTAGTATACTTCCTCCCCATCTTTGTTGCGCCCTTACTGATCTGGTTTGTCTTGTTTGTATTGAGTGTTTTTAAGTACTTATGGAGGAATTGGAAACGCCAGGTCTTCAGTTCCCTCCCCCGTCTCATCCCTTCTTAAACCCCTCCTTCCCCACCCAAACTGAACTGCTTCCATCCAAATTTGTGCTGTTTGTTTTTATTTTCTAATGAAAAAAGAAAGAAAAATCCACCAGCATCACTGACATGCTCTGGTTAGAAACACAGAATAGAAATGAGCTTGGGTTGTGAATAATTTAACTAGACTGGGCAGAGACGGACAAACTTGATCACGTAGAAGCTGGGACTAGACAGCATGCTCAACGGGTGTTGATTGTTGTTGCATCATAGCTGAATTCCTGTCTGGTTAATGTTGTACTTGAGGAACCTTGGACTTGGATTTGTAGAGCTGTGCACGACTAGTTTTGCAAAGTTTCAAGGTATGTGGGCACATACACAAGGCTAAGTTATAAAGATTTTCTCTTTCAGAGAGTTAATGCTAAATTTTATCCACAGCAATGCGCGAGATCACTGAAGCAAACAAATCACTTCCGCAATGGGCCAAACGCTAGCTATGTTTCGATTTCGTCAAATACATTTCCCCTGCCTTTACTTGTGCTGAAACGGCTTGAGTTTCCCTGCAGCGAGTCTGGATTGTTTCCATAAGACTCAGCTCTTGCCTTGTTGGATTCAAAATTTTATGAAGTAGCTTTGTTTATAACAGAAATTAAAATCGGTTCCTACAATCAGTGCAGAACAACATCAGCCTTAATTCAGAAGACCAACTGATCAGCACGGTGCTCGTTTCTGTCGATTCGCGCACGAAGGTGATCACTGTACTTGTAATCTACAACACACAGCTTTATTTTTTATTATTCGAGAAATGACATCAACCGTTTGATGCAAACACCAGATGTAAAGTCTGTAAAGATATGATGAGTATATATAGTCTTGAATAGTCTTTCAAATCATCATAAACATGACGACTAAGCACATTCCAAAATATTCTGGAATGTTCTATCACATTATTTCGCACATACATGTACTTTCTGTCTACACTCACACACAATAACCAAACAAAGACTTAATAATAATTCTCAGTCTTTGAAAAAGTTACCATTGCGAATTTATCCAAAATTGCTCAAGAGAAATCATGGGATTACTAGTTGATGATATACATGCAAACATTTTTCCTCTTTAGTCATTTCTATGTCAGGTCATGGCTCACTGGTTCTGTCACCTGCCTTTGTCTTGTCAAGTAGTTGCACTTTCCTTCAAGAACTTGCTTCCAGCTTTTAAACTCTGTCACAAGTAATGCAATTGAACATTTGCACTCTCTCTCTGGTATGTACAGTCAATAGCTGTAAGCATTGCACAGTGGCTCAGGCTTGTAATCCTCCCTGTCTTTCTGACAATGTGTTGCATAAAACTCCCTGAGAATTTTGTTCAGAGTCTATGGTTCTTTCTTTTCTATTTAACTTTGGTGCCATCTTTGAAATGCCAAGACTACCAAACATTTAGCCAGTTGTTTTTTGTGCTTTGTGAGATGTTTTTGTTCCAAGAATTCTCCTCTGACCTCTGAATTTTAATGTTGTTACTTTCTCTTAACCTATCTGCTGCTTGGTTTTAATGTGCTATTGCAACTTTTTAGTTGGTCAATTTAATTAAGATTTGTTGTTACACCACTTTAACTTTCTGCAATCAGTTTCAACTTTCTGCACTGTTTGAGATTTGTTGATGTGTTCTCAGTGGATGAGCTTGCTGAAATTTTTGCATCCATATATTATTAGGCTGGTAAAGAAACTTAAAATTTGTTTTTTTAAAACAAATTTATACAAATTGGTTCTCTGGATCATGTGTATTGTAGGTAGTGTCAGGTCAATATAATGGTCGATATGGCAGTGGTCATATCAGTTGATAGTCCCTCGATAGTCGTTTGATAGTCAGTTGACAGTCATTCAATAATCAGTCAACAGTTGTCTGATATTGAACAAAAAATGTCAGTATACTCCACTGATATGTCACGGATGCCTCACTGACACTTTACTGCTACCCCAAAGCTGGTACCTTTCATGGACATGAAAGGTACTAGATTGGTAAGTGTATAATATTGGTGAATAAATTTGCATAATAAGCTGATGTTGCGTTTCCAAGAAAATAGATCCTTTTCCATGTTACTCTGAGGAACTATCAGTTCATATATACATTGTATGTAACATGCTAAAGGTATAAATTTTAAAGGTGGAGAGGATGGCTGTGAGGGAAGGTTCAGAGTTCAGCACTCATAAATGAAATTGCTAATTGACACTTAGTCATGAAAATTTTTACTATTTTTCAAGCAAAATTCAGGGAAAAATGAGTGAATTTTAGAATAATATGATTGTGGCAACCATTTATTATCTTTTCAAGACTATGGTTAATTTTGCAAACATGCTCTTAAACAGATCAAGGTTGTGCCATACTTTCAAGGTTTGGACTTGAAGAAAAACATCACTTGCAAAGCTGTTCGTCTTTTTTTAGCCTACATTTATGATTTATAAATAACTCACTGGCACAGTACATACACCTGTATTAACTCATAGTTATTTATATTAAGGATACTTCTTGCATGTATTAAGTCAATTAGGTTTTAAAAACTGAGAAAAAGGCTGACATTATATATTTTTTTTAAGAAAAATTTTTAGAATTATAATTATACTGGTTTTCCTTGATCCATCCACAACATTCTGAACTCTAATTTGAACTGGAAGCAGTGGATTCTTGTTAGAATGTTGAGGATGAGGAGACACTTATCTCTCACAGTGTCATTCTCAGCCCAAGAGTATAAATGAATATCTGAAAACTATCAGCAGAGGGGAAATTGTTTGACAAATTATAGATTATGGTGGCAGAGGGGCTGGGAATGGGGAGTTATAAGTTCCTGTGATGAAACCAGGTTAAGTTCCTTCAACACTCAGCCACAAAACCCATGACAGGTAATCTGTATTTCCTTAATAAGTTAAAAAATTAAGCGTGAATTAATTGTAATCAAAACTGCATCCTCATGCTATCTCATTTGCTTTCCAGAGATCTGGTAGCTTTCACTTTATATGCCCGATGGGAAAGTGAAACACTTGCTCTACTGATGGAGAGTTATAGGTGTGGTCAGACAATGGAGTTGCATGGTAATTTGTCAATGTGAAGTTGATGAAGATGAAGAAATGCACTTATGATTAAACCTCAATATTGCACTTTTAAAATTCTTTAATATGATCAGTTTGCTACATTACATCCATACTTTCATTATTACCTAACAGCATACTTCTCCCCCTCAGAACATTTTGTGGCTTTTGACAGCTAGCGGTTGGATCTGATTATGACCTTAAATTTTTGTTTATCTCTGGTTTGAATGTTACTTTTCATTTATTCATTGTATTTCCTGTTGTTTTCTCACATGAAGTGGTATTATTCTGCCTTTTTGCTTTTGTTCTTGTTGACTAAGCCTACTATCGGCACAGGGGCTTGGGATACATGATTTAATTCATTATTCAAACATTAAAGCTTTGGCGAGTAGCACAGATGATGCTACATTGGAGCATCTTGAATGTGCTCCTGGCTTAAGTCATGAGTTGGGTTATCTTATTATCTGTTGCTGTCACTTATTACAGGGGTCAGTTACTTAAATCTGACCAGTAGGATTTGATTTCTAAATTCTTTGTCATCTTTGCTTGTGGTGGTCCTGAGAACTGATTGGCACGATTGAACTAGGTTGAAAATGTTTGTTTCCTATGATGTGATCTGTTTATCTCTTGGACAAGACCCTAGTGATAGAATTTATTCCTTTCTTTAATAAAACTAGGCACACCAAATAATGATGAACTACAGGAATTAGGCAAAAAAATTGGTGTCAAGTGGGATACGCTTGGGCATTGCCTGGGAGTGGAGGAGCCAGAACTAGAGAATATAGAACAAAGACACAAGGATTTGGAGAAGAGAGGGTACGCCATGTTAATGCACTGGAAACAGAAGAATGGTTCTGAGGCAACTTATCAAATTTTGAAAGCTGCTTTACAACATAAACTCGTGCAGCGCAAAGACTTAGCAGAGCAAATTTGTGACAATCACGGTAATTATTTTCAAAAACTTTAATTAATTAGAAATAATTAAAATGATTTATTCCATGACAGTGAATTTTGTACTAAGCAGACGCTGGCCAAAGTTTGGTTTCCTTTTCCCATGTTTACTGTAAACCAAACCTGCTTTAAGAGGACATCGCTATTAAGTGAGGACATCGCTATTAGGTGAACGCATGCAGACACTTAAATTAAGCCCAAAACCAGGCAGTTAAAATATTTTATTATCAGTGTACAAATGATGGGTGGGTTGGGGGGGGGGGGAAGGGGGTTATGGTGGTAGGTTGTTTAATTGTCCATTAACAGATTCTGACGTCATACCTTAAGCCTGAGACCCAGCTGTTCACAATTAGTCTTAAATTGTACATGCCATTGAAATGTATCATGGGTGAACATTCATCATTTTAATGATTGTTTTTAATCGGGATTTTGTTTTCTTGAAACAGACATACCAGACGTACCCAGAAATCATTTTGATGTGAAAATCTGCCGGCGTAAACTTGCAGAGCATTACAAAAGAACCGCCACGGTGCCAACTTCTGTGTGGTCCAAGAAATGTGCCGTGAATATTCACGAGATCTACACTCGACTGTCCTTGGTGAAAGAAGAACAAACCCCAGCTGGGTCATCACAGGCTGGACTGAATCACTACACTGATGTGCTCACTGAAAACAAGAACGGATTGCCTTCAAACAGGATACTCTTGCAAGGGCAGACTGGAATCGGGAAGAGTACGTTTGTGAAGAAACTGGCTATGGACTGGGCTGAACTTGACGAAAACAGGTTGACAGATGAACAGAGAGCTATCCTGAAGAAGTTCGAGCTTGCTGTTATTATTGATCTCAAAAAGGTATCTAAATACCAAAACCTCAGAGATATCATAAGCGCCTCCCATATTTTTGCCGATGAGGACACGGCCATGAAGGACGGTCTGCTGAATTACATCACCCACAACCAAGACAAAGTTCTCCTCGTTTTTGATGGATACGACGAATATCATTTCGGAAGCAACTCTGATATCTTTGAGATATTCAAAGGAAACAAGCTGAGAAACTGTTGTGTGTTGATAACAACACGAATTTCCAAAGCGGATGAGCTGAAAGAGTTTAAGGACGTGCATGCTGAGATCACTGGGTTCAGTGGAGAGGACAGCTACTCCTTTATGGTCAGAATGCTTGGTGACGAAATACAAGCCGGCGCATTACAGGATCATCTTTACGAGCGAAACCTGTACGATCTGGCGAGAGTTCCGCTACTTCTCCTGTTCTTTTGCACTTTGTGGAAAAAAGGAAGCGCACAGAGCTTTCCTGACTCCAAAACAACATTGTACATTGAAATCGTTCAGTACGTTTTGAATCATAATGCAGCGAAATGTTCTCCTGCTAACTTTCACAAAGTTGAAGATTTCAAAGAGATTCTGGCTAAAATTGGAAAGGTGGCGTTAGAATGTCTTTTGAAGGACGATCATGTATTCGAGTATGATCAACTGTCCCATGCCAACCGGATTTGCGAAGAAAGTCGGATTATAGGCTTACTTCAAGTCAGTGAGTACTCAGAGAATCTTCGACCAGCAGGGATGGTATCGTTTATTCACAAGAGCATACAAGAATTCTTAGCAGCTTGGTATATTAACTACAGATGTGTTCCTGAAGGAAATCTCGGTGAAATTAATGACCGCACCCGAACTTTGGACGACTTTAGATCCTTAGAAAATGTTTTTCAATTTGTTTGCGGTTTGTCTGATGATGGAGCAGTGAAAGTTTTTGAACATTTGAAATCGGTTAGAATTTCTGACTCAGAACTGGATTTGTCAAATTTGATACCCGATGGGACCGACGAGCCACTGTGTGACATTAGGAAGCGCCAGTGTTTTATTACCCTGGTAAATAGTTCATTTGGTGAAGTTCAATCCAAAACTGAAGTCTTAAGACATTATTTAAATTGCACTGATGGGATCATCTTTGTTGAGGGAAGATCAGTTCGTGAAATTATACCCGAACGGAGAATTTTAAATGGAATTACTCTTAATGGTGTGGTTTGGTTTGTAAAGGAAATTTTTCATCAAAAGGCGATGAAAATATACGAGTGGATCGAGTTTCTCGATTGTTTGGACGTTCCCCTTAGGATGACTGAGAATTCAGTGGTTGTCGCAGTCGGGGAATTTTTAAGAAAGTTCGAAGCTATCAGATGTTTTCGGTATTGTTTGTGTTTTTTCACGTGCATTCTTCATTACCATAACGGTCAGGCGTTTTTTTACATCACTCGTTTGTACCTGAAGTGTAATATCCATGCTGACTTATTTGATGTCACCAACTTGACTTCCACTCCATCCCACTCCACAAGTTCGTCATCAGAGGGATTCTGTTTGAAATATCTAAGCTTTCTTCACATTTATACAGATGTCAACGAGCGAACGATGAAATGTCTTGTTACCATTTTTAGAGATTGTAAGAATTTAAAAAATATTTTATGTGAGAGAGTAACTAAATGTACTTGTGAACTTCTTCAATATGTACCAAACCCCAGTACGTGTCGGGTAGAGCTTGGTTATTCCCTATTATTTCCTTTAGACTGGCCGTCACTGACGTCAGCCGACGTAACGAAGCTCGCTGGTTTGTTACCACAGTTTAACAATCTAGTCTCACTTAACCTTAACTTGAATAACTGTTGTGCTGAAGCAACAAACAAACTGGTTTCTAGTATCACGCATAAGACTCTTGAGAAACTGGGACTGCATGGCATTACACTGACTCCAGTCACAGCCGCCACGCTTGGTCGGTCAATTTCTAAAATGTCGTCCTTACGTGAGCTCTCGATAGCTGGGCCGAGAAGAGGGTTTCTAGAAACAAACGAGATTGAGGCATCACCAACAGGATTAGACAGAACATCTCTGGTTTCACAATTATTTACGTTCAACACAGGAGGTTGTCGTTTCTTGCCCAGTTTGTGTACTTTAAATCTTTCGTTTTTAAATTTGAATGTACGGGACTTACGTGAGCTGTTGGATAATTTGAAATTCTTCTCAGAGCTGAGACACTTTTGCCTATATGGCAATCCACTGGGTGACGAGCACACGGTTTACTCTATGGTGAAAAAAGCACTGCCTCGGGTTGATGTTTGTTATTGATAACGCCAAGTTCATTCACCAAGTGAAGGACACAGACGTTTGCACTGACAGAAGGAATGATTGTCTTTAGTATCGCGTCACTTAAGTATCACGTCTGCCACTTACATTGCCTGATTTCATGGAATGTCAATTGTAACAACAGGCAATGGAACTTGTCTCCAGCTACTTGTTAATAATAATAATAATAATAATAATAAACTTTATTTACGTGTCAAATAAGATAGCAGTTTCCCACTAAGTAAGGACACCTAAACTAAACTAATCTAATCTATATAAAACTAAGCATTAAAAATTTATTGGAATATGATAAAAGAGCTCTTCCCATATAAAACTACCCTACCCCGAAATAGTAGACCCCATGTTTATAATACCCTACCCTGTATAAGATAATAACCTTAATATAATGAGATAATAAGATAATAATAATTACAATAATATGATCTTGATAATATTTAAAATATTTAAGATTTACATAAAATACAGTTCTTGCAATTATTTGAAGAGATTAAACTTTGTATATCTACTTTATGTAAAGCGTTTTTAAATTCTTGCAGCGTTCTTAGTGCTCTTATTTTTCCATCTAACTTAGACCAGATTACTGGACCTAAGTACCTAAGAGAGTGCTTGTGAGAGCTTGTTAGATGACTCGAGGTTACATTTTATTTTAGGTTAGAATCAAGAATTATTAAATAATGTTTTAATTTTAACGTAGAAAGGTTTGAATGTATGAAAAACTTTCAATAGGTAATTAAAAATTCATGGAATTGGATCAGCCTGTCCAAGTTTTATTCATTTTTTTTTTCGGTACGTGAGAGGAGCGCATAATGTCGAGCGCGCGGAGCGAGAATCCTTGCGGAGCACGAAAAACGAAGAGAATAATGTTCTCGACGAAGACTTAATAAAAAGACGGTTTCTCGACTTCTCCTCAAGTCATTACCATATCTTTATAACTTTTTCCCTCACGTCACTACGAAATGGCGTGTCAAGTTTAAATCAATATGAGTCTGCTTCAGATAAGCCTAAATTCATTTTGTCTCCATAATTAGTGAAGGCAAATATGTAAACAAGAGCAGTTTTTATATTTGAAAAAAAGTATTTTTCAATGCGATCATAGCATGCAGATACTTGGACGGGCTCTGAAAACAGTGCTCTAAACGATGAGCTAAGACAAAGTGGATGGTCTGTGAACAGGTCACCATAGGATGTTTTCTTTTAAAATTTACGTTAAAAAAATAACATTTCATTGCATCCTACCTTAAGTCTAAAATTGATAGATATTGGTGCAGAACAGTTTCCTCCATGGTCAAAAATAGTATAGTTCCTCAAATTGGCATGTCAGTTGTCCATAGTCTACTTCATACTTCTGTCATCATCAGGGAACACACAGAGGGAGAGACTTTTTTTGAAAAAAAAAAAAAAAAAAAAAAGAAAAAAGAAGTCCTGCTAAGCATGCCTTCACCCCCCTGCCTTGTTGGCTTAAGGTGATGGGTTTGCCTTAAGCCTACCTCCTCCCTCCCCTATTCAAAAATTTGCCAATTGACTTAATGCACGTGAAGAGTTCTTATAACTATTAATAAAGGGTGTAAGTTTCTAAAGAAACCAAGGTGCTGTGTTGGGGTAGATGGGGAGTATAACAAGATAATTTTAGTTTCACCAACTGAGTTGATAATGTAAATTGGCTTTCGTAAAGAGTTTCTAAAGCTGTTTTTTGTTTTTCTGAAGCCTCTCAGCAGGCCAGCCTTTAAAATCTGATTGGCTGTAATGAGTAAAGCTTTAAACCACAGTCAAAAAAGTTAAGTAAGGCTGTAGGTTTGTCTGCCCGTAGTCAAAACCTTGGGTACTGTTTCTTCCCATATAGACCTTCCAACCAGTAATTAGCATTTATCTATGCCTGACTGCTTCTTTTGCAAGGCAAAAAGCTCCCCAGAGGACTCTATCAGAGTTTCTTGGGAAACAACTTTCTTGCCAAATTTGTTTGCTATTTTTCTAGAATTAAAAAAAACAGCTGTTCTTTAGTAAGCCAGCCAAAATATGGGGAGTTATAGAGGTGTATGTACTCCTTGTTGGTATATCCCATGTCCAGTGTAGTATCTTAATTTCTCTTTCATTCCCCACCTGGCCTGCATATTTATACCAAAACATAATATTATTGCTATTCTTAATATAAAATTTGTGCCACAACAAAATATGGAGGAAATAGTGTTCAGTGCAACATCACTTTAAGCACACAAGTGCAACTACCATTCACTTTTCAGATGAGAGGTTTATTCCATTTTCATCATTTATAGCATAAAATTATTTTATTATTTTTTAAATGAAAACTGATTTTCATCTCAATCAAATCTCCACTCTAGCCATGAAATACAATTCAGCAATTGCTACAATGAATGCCAGCAAAACTCCAATAATCACTTGCTGAAACAAAAAGAAACAATAATGATCAGTTATATGATTCCAACCAGGTCAGGGATTACTCAGTTCACAGCCCTCTTTTAGCTGAACTGTCAGATTAAAAATCACTTTGAATTCTCCATGTTTGTTGACAAGGGTTCATAGGTTAATTTTAGACTGTTATTGACCAAAAGTTACAACTGAAGAGGTTTTCCAAAGGCCATGATTTTGGGTCAAAGTTAATCTCAACTTCACAAACATTTCTTACTCTGGCTAGCTTTAACTTGTGCCAAGGGAATTTTTCAAAACATATAGAAGCCCCAATCTCTGAGCATGGAGGATATTTTATGAGTGGCTTTGTGGCTCTGTGAATCTCCACCACTTTTACAGACATGTGTTAATAATTGTTTCTATAATAAGTAAATACCACAACAACACAGAAAGCAAAAAATAAGCCTGTTTTTGTTGATAAACCAAGAAATAGTCTGAAATTGAACTCTTGAGGTGTGATTTTGACTTATTCCTTTGGGTACTCAGAGGTAAATAGTACTTGCTAATCACTTCCAAACTAGCCAATCGGCATGTGCAAAAAATACTATTTACCTGTGTGGGAAGGGGGGGGGGGCAGGGGGTATACTAAAACCTCATAGAATTATAATGGGGGGTCCATATTTTTCCCTTAAAACTTGCTTTAGTCTAAGCTTCTCCCTACTCCAGAACTACAGCTGTAAGTATTGTTGCATAACACCTTTAAAAGTTACATACCACAGCAATGGAAGGAAAAGCGTACTGTGATGCAATGTAACCAAATGTGAATGTTGCAATTATTGACAACAGGAAGTTGATTATTGAAGACAACTGTTTGCCACCAGAGCGAACTGAAAGGAAAAACATGAGTCACAGTTTTAGCATGTGTTGGAGGAAACAAATTGGTCACAGATATGAATTACCGGTACTATGAAAAACCCACAAGGAAATAAATAGTGATATCAACCAAATGTTTAACAGATTTAAGTGATATTGCAGAGAAAAAGACTGAGCTTAAAGTACAGCTTGCCTGAAAGGATCATTTCTCCAACATGAATTATTTTATTAAATTTTTATCAGATTCCACCACAGGACAACCAGAACTCACCAAAATTTATATCACTCCCAACCTGAGGCTCTTAAGTACAGTTTGTAGTGGCACCCAATTAGTATCTTGGAGACATGGGTTTGAATCACATTGAAGCTAACATTTTTTAAGCCTCTTTTCTGCAATTGCCTTAATTGTAGCTCACCAATAAGGCTCATTTCTCCACTTGAGTTTCATCTGCATGTTAAAATGATGTAATTACTTTCAATAAAATTGTCAATACTCACCTTCTTGTCCAAATTGCATTCCATCAGTTTGATGCCACTACAGAGAAAATGAAAAAATGGAAGTTAAGCTAAAAAATGATCTTAAATAATGGAACCAAGCACACACACACAAGCTCCAAAATTCACCATTTTTTAATGGACCAAAGGACTCGTCAACTTTCTGACACATATATGTTCCATTCTTACATTTATTTTTTTCGGAATTCCTTTTGATGTTCAAAACCAACATTTCTTAATTGGGCATGTGGCAGCTATGGTTGCAAACTATGTAACCACCCCCCAAACTGCAAGCATTGCAATATTGAAAGTTTCAGCTCTAACCCTCTACACCCTAAAATCAGTATGCATATTTCCATACTGTTCTCTAGACATTTTCTAAGATGCCAATATGGAGAATTTGTCTAACAATCAAGAGCTTCTTTAGTGGGTGATCAGCTCCTTTATTCTCCTGACCTTAATTTTTGATTCAGGGATGATATGGTAAGGAGAAATTAGATGCCAGTCATTCTTAGGAGTTACAAGGTTAAATTCAGGTCAGTCTACTCATTTTTGTACTATCCCACCACTCTGCCTTGAACAAAGTTAAAGGTTAATATTCTCAGGTTACCCTTGGAAAAAAAATTGCTTACAAGGTCAAAGTCTTTATAGTGGTCTCTTCTCAAGAATTTGTCTTTGCTTGGTTTCCCTGTGCCCCAATGTCTCAGCCCTACCAGAAATGACTCCCTAACTGTTAAGATGCAGACAAAGATTCTAGGCATCCCAGGATTGAGAAAATGACATAAAAATTATCTGAAAGTAAGTTTTCAATGACTTAACATATCACAGAAGGAAAATTAGCATTTTTATCTAGCTTCATCAAAAGCAGAATCAGTACAAGAGAATAATAAGCTCCCACTCCTTGATTAAGTGCCCTCTTTACAATAAGGGCCCTTCCTTTTATCCAAAATTATGAATAACTGTTCAGGTGCTTATTTGAGGAAATATGGTTTATACTCTTTCATGGCAGAAAAAAATTTATGTTTCAAGAGCAATCTTTTTCCTTGATCAAGAAATTTTCAGGATCATGCATTACCTTTCGCTCAATATTTGAAACCATTCTTTCATACTCCAATATCCTGTTCTGCTTTTAGACATGCTATGAATTCTGGACTCTGACTGAAAAAAAAATTAATGCTATTCATATTAGACAATTTGGATAGATGTGTACATGTAAAGTAAAATTTACAGTCTGATAAAAAGACAAAGGAGAGAGAGTCAGTGGCTAAATTCAAACTGGGCAATTAAGGAGACTTTTCAATGATTACAATAAATTTTATCACCTACCTTTTTCTGGTAGTTTTAGCAGCTCTACATAAATTTCACTTCCACAAAGGAACTCGTATAAATACATATTTGAGCTTGAATCTGGAAAGAAATGAAATTAAATACTCTTAGATAGGTAAACATTTATTGGTTTGTCTCATGATGTTAAAATCAGGCTATCAGTTGTATTGATCGTGATGTTTCCACTTTTATACTACTAATCTTCCTACTTTAATACAAATTCCAAATTAATTACATTGAACAAGTCAAACTTACAAAAAAAACCTCCAAACTTTTGATAGAAATAAGATAAATAGGATAAAAAAATTGGCACTGAAGTTATCATAAAAATAATTATTAACCAATTTCTTCCAATAAAAATTGGCACTGAACTTATCATAATGATAATTAAACAATTTCTAGAGAAAGACTGGTAAGGTGTTATATTCCCTGATGCTGAGAGGTAATTTGTTCCATGCCTGACAAACCCAAGTAAAAACAGAATTCTTAAAAGTTTCTGTATGACTAAAAGGGAAATCAAGTTTTAAATAATCAATATTTCTCAAAGGCTTGTTACAAGAGTGAAACTATACATTGCCAAAAATATCCAAATCATATAGATTCTTAAAGGATTTTAAAAAAGAACACTTAATCATGAATTACCCTTCCATATGGTAATTAAAGGTAAGAAATTTAATTTACTAACTAAAGGCACTTGTATTTAGTAAACTCCTTGCCAAGAATGAATCTTGTGGCCTTGCATTGAATTTGTTCTAAGTTGGTAATGTTTCTTTTAGTGTAGGGTGACTGCACCTGAGTAATGTAAAGTAACTTTTTAGTCCTAGTGTCAGCTATATCTTTACATGTCCTTTAGAGCAAATTAAGAATTCTTTGGGCTCTGGAAGAGATAATATCAATGTAGTGATTCTGGCTCAAATTGTAGCTGATCAAAATACTTAGATCTTTTACAACAGGAACATGTTCCAACTTAGTTTTACCAAGAAAATACTCTCTCTCATAGATACATTTAAAGCATGCCACCCTTACAACCTCACACTTTTTGACATTGCACTCCATTCCCCAAAGGTGTAACAACTCAAATAACTTATTTAAGTCTTCCTGTAATTTATCACCATCATCTTGGCCAAGAACTACATGAAAACACTTAGAATCATCAGCGAAGAGTGTAGTGATGTAGCCCCTCAAATTACACCAGGCATGTCATTTATGTAGATCAAGAAGAGCAGGGGTCCTAGAAGAGATCCCTGGGGGACTCCAGATATAACTGGAAGAAAATCAGATGCCAAATTATCTATCACAACCTTGTGTCTTCTACCAGATAAATAAGATCTAAATCAAGCTAATAGAGAACCCTTGATACCAAGGCACTTGAGCATAAACAAAAGTTTTTTATGGAGCACTTGATCAAATGCCTTGGAAAAATCAAAATAAATGACATCTACTTGTCGCCTCATTTCAAGAGCCCTAGCAAATTGATGAACTACTTGGGTTAATTGAGACATAGTTGATCTGCATGGCAAAAGGCCATATTGCCATTGTGTAATATAAGGGGATATAACTGACCAGACTATAAACTTGCCTTTGCAGTAATTTAGAAAGCACATCAAGAAGTGAAATGCTTTCATAGTAAGACCCTAGAGACTAAGAATCACTGTTATAAACAGGGTCAAGATTAGCATCTTTCCATTTTTAAGAAAAGCCCCCTGCTCCAAAGAAAAATCAAATTATCTGCGTAAAGAAGGTGAAATTTCCTCCACACACTCTTGTAACAACTTAGGGGAAGGTTCAGTGAAGCTTTGATGATATCAAGTAACTTTAGTTGTTTAAGATTATAGTTAAGGCTTAATTTTAACTCACACAATTTGTATTCAACACTATGTTTAGTCAGTGAAGGCAATTAGAAGTGCTACCATGATCAGGTGGAGCAAAAACCTAATGAAAAAAAAAGCATTGAATAAATTAGCTTGATCAATGGGTCTGGTGGCCTGCATTGATGGATCCCTAATAACCCCTGGAATTTTCCTACTTTTTGTAATATGATCGAAATTTATGAGGATTGTCTTTTAGAACAGCACTAAGGTTACATAAGTGATTACTCCTCTTAAATTTGACCATTCAAAGAGTCTTTCATCTTAGCTTTATGCCAGATTTGGTTCTTCTTTCTGATCAACTGTAATACTTCTCTGTCAATCCATGGAGGCCTGTTGGCATCCCTGATTAACACCTTAGGGACAAATTCATCCACACGTGATAGAAACATGTGCAGAAAGAAACAGGAGCTCTTTGGACAAAGGTAAGAGATTGGAATCTTTTCAGAGCTTATTGTACAATGCTTAAACAACGAGAGTGGCGAAATTTCCAGAGAACTTAGATTTCTTACAAGTTATTTAATTTCTTTTGAAATCATTGTCTCAGTGATTCTTGATTCTAACACCTGGAAGAATACATTGTGTTTGTCACCCCCATATAGCAATGACTGAGTCAGGACTGAAACAGTTTTAATGATCATCCATTTCAGTGTGACAGATGACAGCGTTAGATCTTTGGCAATCAATCTGAGGACCCCTGGACATAAGTATTCAGTTTTTCATATAACAGACAGACAAGGAACCAAACCTAAGGCACTTAACAGATTTGTGCCAAAAATAAAATCACCAGATTTGTTAGTCTTGGGTCAAACTGATCCTCAGTAGTGTGTATACTTTCAATTCCATAATATGACAGTACAATGCAATATAGAATTATTTTGAGGCAAAAGAGGAAACACGGCCCTTCAGTTTCCTCTGGTCACAAGTAAATCATATAACCCATTGGATTTGAGAAAGTGTGCCATTAGTTTTTATTATCACTCATGAGTTCGCTGTTATTTCCAACAATCAATCTCAGCCAGATTCAACTGATCGCAGAAAATGTTGTGTCACTAATTACATGCTGTATGTGTCCTATCAGTTATTGTCCTGGTATGTGTAGGTGTGGGTTTATATTCAGAAAATGGAGCTACCCCCTCTAATCATTCTAAGCAGCATATGGCAGTTTGCAGCCTTTCCCTACATCTTGGCAGTTGGAAAAGCCACAAAACTCGAGAACAAAAATTTATCTTTCAAACTGGCACTCTTAATCCCCATGGTATCAATGAGCGCTTTTAATTCAACTAATTTATTCTTGTTTTCTTGTTTTTCCAAACTCCCACCAATAGTGTGGGAATAAACTTAAATTTAAGTTTGGTGCAAATATTACATCCATTTTGAACTCAATGGCAATCTTTACACTCAAATTGGCTCTAACAAGTTTGATTCATTCATAAATTGTGACGTACAATTTTTTTTATCATAAATGGCAACTTTTGCCCATGCCAAGTTTTTCATTAACCAGCTATTAAAATATTGCAACTGACCAGAGTCCTCAACACAAAACTGTATTTTGGTGTTAACTTGATTATGTGATTTCCAAGTGAATGTAACCAGGTGGTGTTTGAACTTCATGTTCTACAATTTAGGTCTGAAATCTTACTTAGAATTTCAAGTTAACTAACTAAACATTTGTTGGCTTGTTAGATATGAAAATTTGCTAGGCCTGGGTTGTTCAAATCTGGGTTAAGATAACCCAGGGTTAGCATGGAATTTGATTTCAGGACTGAAAGCTTGAAAAGAAAATTCAGTTCATATCTTTTTGCTTGCAATTTGATCATTGGATGTTCTAAAAAGAATAAGGTAAATTTTATCTAAAAGGCTTTGGAAAAAAGAAATATAGAAACCTGGATTAAAATTTAACCCTGGGAAAGCACTTAAATCAGCCTTTGAACAACTGGGCCCTGATGATTTTGAAATCTTGTAAATAATTTTGAAATCTCACAAATGATTCTAGATTCTGAATTGCACTTCACTCCAATCAATCAACATCATTTAGTACAGTGAGCTCTTATTAGCTGCTGGTTATTTATTCCTAATTCTGATTTACTTTGGTCATTTTTTGTTTAAGTTTAAATCTATGATCATTAATCAAATACTGTTTCAAATCATGGTTGATTTTACCTTAAACTGAGTCAAAGGAATTGCCTCTGGCCTCTTTAACTTGGAGTCCTCCCATGTTGTCTTGTGTGTTGTGTGATCAATAAAGTAGCTGTGAAAAAATGACCAATAAAAGAAATATCTAATAACCATTGAGGACTTATGTAAAAGTAAATCAATAAATCTTAAAAATTGATTATAGTGTTCAAAGTCAATAAAAACAATCAATCTTCTTTCTACCCATTCTAACTCCTCTTATTTGTTTTTCAACCAATAGGCTGCACTTTCCATTAGTTTACCCTTTAAATAATCCAACCTGGAAGCAAATTATTTACAAACTATTCTTGTGTTCTCCCAACACCTTGCCTAAGTTATTACACCTGTAAACTGATAGAAAGTGTGGTTTATTATTTTAAATAAAAAACTACAGATTTATTTGTGTAATAAATGATTGGTTTTTTATCAGTCATGTGCTAATAGTATCTCAGTTACTTCATAAAAAACATAACTCTCTACAAACATTATTTTATGAACTATGATTTAGTTTTGATAATAAGCATCTTCACTGAAGGCCAATAACAATATTTTTTCTTTTCTAACAAGTAATTTCCCTTTCACTCCCAAGATCTAAATATTAATAATCCCAACTCTCTGACAAGCATTTCTCATAATTTTGGCCATGAGAATTTATGATAAATTTTGATAACTGTATGCGTAATGAAGTATGGGGTTTTTCAGACATCTTGCCGATAGAAGGCTCACTTCAGCATCGAAATAAGCCAAGAGTAAACCGTGCAAGCATAAAATTTCAAAATCACGACGAACCTGCATCTGTTAGCTACAGATACAATAAAACTGTTTCTCTTGTTATCAGCATTGGTGATGGATACTCTAGAAAGCTCTAAAGTAATATGTTTCTCGCAAGAGAGAAATATTCTGCTTGGCCGTCTATTCAAAAAAGCCACGCAGCGACAGCGAACTCAGATGTTTACGACTCGTCAAGATCAAAACGCAAGCATAGATTAAAAAATACTAACTATCTTCCGATGTTGCCATCATATCTAGCCTCCCAGCCTGGAGGCAAAGGTTCATTTTACCATGGTTGGAATTGTATCCAAGCGTTCGCCATCTTTGTTTTCACTTCTTGACAAAAATAATACAATTGTCAATTCGTGTGATTCAACTTCAAATATCCTTTGTAATGCTCGCGAGGCGACGCCCACTTATTATCTACGACGATAAAATAAAGGGTATGTTAAGAGAGTGATAATGTCTGTTCTTAAGTGTTCTCCACTTATAAGTACTCTGAGGAATTTCGGCTACCACAGCTGAAACAGCGGATTTTTGAACAAGTCTTTCCTGATTTTGTCCGGCAACTTCTGCTGAGCAACTGTTGGCGTTTGGATTAACTTTTTGTGACAATGACAACCTTGGGCAATTTTTGCCTTCCTGAGCAATTTTTGAGCAAAACGTTGTCTCAATAATATCCTTAAAATTTGCCAATATTTGCGAGCAACTCTTTCAAGCTTTGTTTCAAGCTATCTCTCTCGACCGCTGTTAGCTATGATCCATCATATACTTTTCATCACGCATCACATGACTGAATATTCCCCACTAAACCTGGGTGATATCCGTGAATATCACCCAAGCCATATTACCCAATTTTCAAACCTTACGTCCACAATAAAAATTCCATTAAAGAAGCGAGAAGGCCTTTTTGTAGTTGTTACAGAAGAAGGGAAATATATATATTTTTATAATTAGTCAGTTGTAAGAGATAACAATAAAAAGAAAGCACTCCAAGCAGCAAACACCTGAGCTGTTCGTATAAATTTTTTCACGCGTGTTGCTAAATATTTGAAGGATGATAAACACAATAGCCTATATTTTGCGCGAAAATATACCCGTATATTTGTCCTTGGACATAATCTGGTCCTCGAAGCTCACAGTTTTGCATCTTGGAACAGATTATGTCCGCAGACAAATATCCTTTTATGTTTTCGAGCCATTAGAGGCTACTGTGAAAGTATTAAGGCATTACGGCAGCAACTTTTGAAACTTATGAAGCAACTCTTTGAATTTTTGGTATTTTCTTTGCTACCCTTTGGCATTCCAGTGAACAACTTTCCAGCATTTTACGGGCACAATTAGGAAAGCGTAGTTGTAACTTGTTGAATAGATCAGAACGCCCAAGGAGGGGTGGAGTGAGGAGCGCGGAGTAAGCGTGACGAGGGCGAAGGGAGAAAGGGTGCAGATACATCTGAATCATTCACTGCACAGCGACTTAGATAATTTCTCACATGGCTCCTAAATCATTAAAAAATTCTGGGTTTTCAGTACTTATACAAGAATTGGAAACGTCAGGTCTTCAGCTCCCCTCCCTTCTCCCTTTTCATCCCCTCAATCCCTTCTTAGATCCTTCCTACTCCACCCCAAACTAAACTGCTTCCATCCAAATTTGTGCCGCTTGTTTTTATTTTAAAATGGAAAAGGAATGAAAAATCCACCAGCATCACTGGCATGCCCTAGTTAGAAACATAGAATAGAAATGAGCTTGTGAATAATTAATTGGACTGGACTTGATCGCGTAGGAGTAGGACTATCCAGCATGCTCAACGGGTGTTGCTGGGTGTTGCTTGGTGTTGCTTGGTGTTTCATCATAGATGCACACCTGTCTGGTTAATGTTGTACTTGAGGAACCTTCGATTTGCATAGCTGTGAACGACTGGTTTTGCAAAGTTTCAAGGTATGTGTGCACACATACAAGGTTTAGTTACAAAGATTTTCTCTTCCAAAGAGTTTATGCCAAATTTTATCCACGGTATATAATGCGCGAGATCACCGAAGGAAACAAATCACTTCCGCAATGGGGCAAGCGCTAGCTATGTTTCGATTTCGTCAAGTACATTTCCCTTGCCTTTACTTGTGCTGCAACGGCTTGAATTTCCCCACAGCGTGTCTGAATTGATTCCATAAGTCTCAGCTCCTACCTTGCTCGATCCAAAATTTATGAAGTAGCTTTGTTTATAACAGAAATGAAAATCGGTTCCTACAATAAGTGCAAAACAACATCAGCTTCAAAACACCAACTGATTAGCGTGGTGCTTGCTTTTGTCAATTCGCTTACGACGGTGATCACTGTATTTGCATTCTTCAACACACAGCTTTATTTTTTATTATTCGAGAAATGACATCAACAGCTTGATGCAAGCACCAGATGCAAAGTCTGTTAAGATGTGATGAGTAAATTTTATAGTCTTTAACAATGACTATGAACATCACTAAACACATTCCAAAATATTCTGGAATGTTCTATCACATTACTTTGCACATATATGTACTTTCTGTCTACACTCACACACGATGACCAGACAAAAATCTTTAACAATTTTCAGTCTTTGAAAAATTAACCATTGCTGATTTATTCCAAATTGCTCAAGAGAAATCATGGGATTACTTGTTGATGATATGCATGCAAACATTTTTTCCTCTTACGTCATTTCTATGTTGTGTCATGGCTCACTGGTTCACTTGCCTTTGTCTTGTTCCTGGAGTAGTTGCACTATCCTTCAAGAACTTGCTTCCAGCTTTTAAACTCTTTCACAAATAATGTAATGGAGCATTTGTACTCTTGCTCTGTTCTGTACAGTCAATAGCAGTAAACACTGCACAGCGGCTCAGGCTTGTAATCCTCCCTGTCTTTCTTACAAACTGTTGCGTAAAACTCCTTGAGAATTTTGTTCAGGGCCCCTGGTTCATTCTTTTCAATATAACTTTGGTGCCATCTTTGAAATGCCAAGACTTCCAGACTTTTCATCAGTTGTTTTTCTTGCTTTGTGAGATGTTTTTGTTCCAAGCATTCTCCTCCAAACTCTGAATTTTAAGATTGTTATGTTCTCCTAGCCTATCTGCCACTTGGTTTTAAAGTGCCATATATGACACATTTTTGTTGATCAGTATGTCGTTTTGTGGTTATAAGGACATCCTTCCTTTTTTCCCTACAAACTGTATAGATCACCTCTACACAGTAACTTAATAACAAGATTGCTTTCAGTTCCATCAGTTACCAAATAATATTTATGGTGGTATCTGTTAAGGTTTGGTTCATTTTCTATAAAACTTTGAGAAGTCCTCAAACCTTTATATCTTCCCAGTACATATATCACCATGATCTCACCACCCAAAGAGTCATAAATGAAGAATTTGCTTTTTGTCAAATTGCCTTGGACTACACCTACTGAGCAAATGAATCCTTTGCATTTGGTTCTACCCCCTTTCATTTATACTTGGTGGTTTTTATATCTTCCTATTAAGATTTCTACAGCAAGGGTAACCAAAACTGAATTTTAGATCCTTTCCAAATCACTCATATTTCAAGTGCATGTAAATGTTATATAAGAAGAAAGGAAAATAGCAACTATGGGATATTGTTTGATTTAACTTTAAATCCTTAGAGCTTAAATGTAGAGAAACTTTTGGCAGATAGTAAAGATAATTTAAATTTGAGACCTTAGGGATGCAATGATTAATTGAGATTAATGATTCTAGATCCACTTCCTGTTATAAAACCTTGGTGAGTAATTTAAGTACTAGTTTTACTGGGTGAAGATTTTAGAAAGAAATGTAGCCAAATTTGAGTACTTTTTGCAGACAGTTTTGAATTGTTGATAAGTATATTCTTGTGCACAAAATGCTATCAGTCTGTGTGATTGTAGGAACTATCTAATATTACTCAAAACATGAATGGAATCAATCTGTGGTCTTTGTGAGGCTCCCATCCACCTCTAAACAAGGACTTCTTTTTATGATCGTAATATCCCCATCCTTCCAGAATGAGGGAGCTCCTCTGGGAAATTGACCATAGTTTTAGTAAGGAAGAATTTGTTGAAATACTCAGAAGAATGGGAAGCTTCTTGCTCTATGTTCTATTTTACTCGTGACAATAATATATTTTTCCCAAGAATTCATAGGCACAGCATGTAATCATGAACAAAATTTTGTGAGATTATAAAATATTGATTCAAATTAATTTAAATGGTGAAGGGTGAAGAAATTTCAGGTATTGTTGAACTTGAGCTCAGCACTGCTCAGATAGAAAAATGATTTTAATCATTTCTTAAAATCCTTACCCATCCATTCTGTATTCTCTTCAGTCAACATTCTTTTTTTCACTTTTGCATTGAATTTCATTTAACATACAATAAGTGTGTTTAAAATTTAGGTAGTTAATTTAAAGTGATCTCAAAAAACATTTTAGGCCTAGTGATGTTTGCAGTCTGCAGTATTGTAAAATAGCCATTTGTGTAATACATGTCAAACAATAAATTTCACTATTGAACAATTACCCACACTGGATTATTCCTACATGTACAGCTGAATGTGTTGGTGATAGATTGTGAAACCTGTTTTAATTAACTCTTTCCACCCTAACATCAGTATGCATATTCTCCATACAGTTGTCTATTCTAAGAATTCCTAAAGTTCTGACAAGAAAAATTTGTTTAACAATCAAGAGCTTATTTAGTTGGTGACCAAATTCTTTATTCTTGTAACCTTAAAATTTTATATACTAATATTTTGCTGTTTGATGTAAGGAAACTGATAATTAAAAAGTAGATTACACTTTGTGAGTCCATTACATGATACTTTATTTGTTCTTTGTGTGTACAAGCTCAAATTTCATTTCAAGCACATGGGAGTGGTATTAATAGATTGTTAGGTAAGATTCTTTGTGTAACAAAACTGTTTTTTGTCCTTCTGTCTTCTATCAACCTTCTACCTTGGTTTTCTACATGGAGCAAAGTAACTTATGTTAGTAAATTTAAGGGTGGAGAGGATGGCTGTGATGGGTTGGAAGTCCAATACTTTACATAAATAAAATGTTTAATTCACCCAGTCTTGGAAATTTCACTAATTCTAAGAATAATTCAAGGAAAATTTAGAGAAATTTTAAAAATTTTATGAATGTGGCAACCATTTGTTATCTTTTCAAGACTATGGTTAATTTTGCAAACATGCTTTTAAACAAATTAAGGTTGTGCTATACTTGGACTTTGGTTTGGACTTGAAGAAAAACACAAATTACAAAGTTGTTCTTGTTTTTTTTTCTTTTAGCCTTTTAAAATAACTCACTGGCATAGTACATACACCTGTATTGTTTCACAGTTACGCATATTAATTAAGGACACTTCTCGCCTGTATTATGTATAACAAAGACTATTTTCAGTTTTGATTTGCGTGACTTTCAATACCCTTTTGTTTTGTGTGACATACCTTCTAATTATCGACATTATGTTTCATTCAAACATGAGACATGTGTGAGTTGCAAGTATATCATCAGAAGAGAAGATAGATCGAAGAATTGTCGAAATATTAGAGTAATAGAACAGGGAAAGAGGTGTATCATGTTGTTTATTTTTGTATTCATGCACCAAAATGAGTACAATCAAAGGTAGTTTTGTTTTGCTTAGGATATTTGTATTGTCTTGATTTATCTGTATACATGCCCTGTGTATTTGAGTTTAGGACATTTCTATTGGTGTAATGGCTCATTTTAATTAATTGTATTTCAGTTTTTACAAGCTTTCAAGTTTAATAAACGAATCGAGTTTCAATAGACGCTGGGATGGTCCGTCAATATAAAACATTTCTCCGACACAGGGTTGTAAGATTTGATTAATGTCAGTGCCCACCCCATTACATATCAAGTCAATTAGGTTTTAAAAACTGAGAAAAAGGCTGACATAGTATATTTTTTAAAGAAAAAAACTAGAATAAATGATATGTTTTCCAACAAACAACACATGGAGTAACGTTATAATTATACTGGTTTTCCTTGATCCATCCACAAAAACCGACATTCTGATTTCTAATTGTTCACTGCTTAATCCCACCATAAAATTATTATTGTCATTATCATAATGATTATTATTGTTGTCTCTTCTATCACAGTCTTTGCTGATGTTCTTTTTGTGCATCAGCTGGGTGCAAACCATGGACCCAGGGCATCAGTCACTCAAGTCAATCATTCTGTTCATACATAAGCACCTCTCTGAGGATTTGCACAGATCCTAGTATGCAGATATTTTGAATCTCTGTCACAGTAGCTCCTGATACTTTCTTTATGTTTTCCACCATCCACTTCTTTACTGTACCAAGTGCACCAAAACCACAGGGATCACTATGATTTTCATATGCTGCATTCTCTGTATTTCTAGTTTAAGGTCTTTGTACTTGCTTTTCTTTTCCATTTCCTTCAGAGTGATGTTTCTATATGATAGAACAGTCATATCAATCAGTTTGCGGGTGGAATTCGCCAGATTGATGCTCCAATGGAGATGTGACGCAGCATTATTGTGCCTGGAGGTGTACTCTGTTCTAGCTAATAACTCACATCCAGTTATAATATTATCCACTGTCTCTTCCTTTTGCAAACACATTCTGCATTTGCTCTCCACTTGCTGGCCACATATAACTGAAAAAAAAAACTGACAGCAAGGAGGAACACTTGACAAATTATGGATTACGCTGGGGGATGAGAGGAGTTGGGATTGGAGGCTATAAGTTCCTGTGATGAAACCAGGTTATGTTCCTGTATATGTTTGACCACAAGACCTGTGACATGTAACCTGTATTTCAAAAAATTAAGCTTTGATTTATTGTAATCAAAACTGTATCCTCATGTTTTGTTATCTGCTTTCCAGGGATTCAGTTGCTTTCACTTTACATGCCTGATGGGAAAGTAGAACTCTTGCTCTACTGATGGAGAGTAATAGGAGTGGTCAGACAATGGAGGAGTCATCTGATGCTGTGGAAGTCAATGTTATACCTGATGATCCACCTTCATCACAAGACATTACTATTCCATCTGCGTCATCCCCATCTTCTTCTTGTTCTTCATCATCAGCTTCGAGAGTCACCCCATGCCCAATGCCCAGAGAGTCTGCAGCTTCTTTACCTGTAAATGAGATAAGAATTTACCCTTGCATGTTGTATTTTGATGTCAGATAATCTAGCAGGTTACCAGTTGTTTTGTACCCATGCGCGGTCATTTCATACCCAATCATTTTGTATCCTCCAAGGCCAATTCATCATTCAGTTCATCAATTCATCATACTGAGTATTTATTTTCACATCCATCACACGTCAATAACTCCGCACCTTTTTCACAGTTTCTCAGACTTCTTCGTTTATGCAGTGACGATTCTGATTTTTCCGAAAAATCAGAGGCAAGGTGCCAGTTTTTTCGATAAACATGGCTATCCTGTTTCTGTCGCTCAAGCGGGCCACCACCATGCCCAACAAATTGATCGACAGTCAGCACTATAAACAGCTGAGACTGCACTATCTTTTGATGAAGGGCTAACCCTTGAAACATCTGCTTTTTTACCCTTTACGGTGGCCAATTTATGTTTTCAACTCAGTTGTTAACACTAAATTACCAGCTATACTCTCCCACTGATGCAGCACCACAGTATCTTTAGAAACTTACCCCCTTTATTCATTTGTCATTTATTCACTGCGACTACTAACTCTTGTGTTAAAATTTCTCAATCCACAGATCCCACGGCAATGGACCTTAGCAAATAAGCTTAAGGAATTTGACCAGAGAGTACGCCAGGCAATCGTAAGTTACCTTTTTCCTTTCTCCCTCTTAGTAAAGATCCAGCATTCTGTTTAGTGGTTCTCATTTCCGCCAAAACTAGGTTTTGTAGTCACATCCATTTCATCGGCTGTTGCTTTCATTCCAAAGTTATTCCTAAGGGTTTTCGCTCCAATTTTCACGCATCTTCTTTTTCTCATTCTTATCAATATCGTCTCGAAATTCAGTGCGCCCAAAATTATTTTTCAAGTAATATTATGAGAATCACAATCAGAGCTATGCGCTAAAAACGTAACAAACTCAATGAACAAATTCTACATTGCCACTCTGAACTTTCCAAAATCTGTCCAGCTGTTTTAATACAATCCATTTGTGCCAAAATTCAGGGTGCCAATTCTAAACTCGTTAACCATTTGCACCAAATTAAGACCCAAAAACTCGACCTACTTATTGGCCCTCAAAACTGTACTTACCATTCCAGAAAATTTACTACTTTCCGATTCAGAAAAATCAGTTCTCAACAAGGGTTTAAATTTTGTTCCTGCATATCCGAAAAAACCGACAAATTTTCAGTTAAGCAAGACGTTGAAAAATTGCTTTGCCGCATTCAATTGAAAGCCTTTTTCTCATGACAAAGAGGATGATTCTAACATCTCAAACAAAGATACTTTTGAAATACTTCAGATTCGAAAGTCTAAATGGACTCCCCCAGAGGGCCAGTTCACATCTTTAGATTTTTTCATCAAAAAATGTTGCCATGATATCAACAAACTTAAATTTAATTGTAACACCAAATTTTCCATCCTTTCTTCGGAAGAGTGGTCGTCAATAAAAAAGTCTAAAAAAAACACAAATACATAGTCATTAAAGTGGCTGACAAAGGCAGCACAGTTGTTGTTTGGCGGGCCAACCTCTACCTAGAAGAAGCTTTGTGGCAACTATCTGACACCTCCTTTTGTGCTAAAGTCGACAAAGATCTCATCCTAATTAACCAAAACATTGTCAAAAATACGATTAACGATCTTCTAGCTAAACAAGAATTAGCAGTCACTGCTAAAAATCTCACCATCACCATTCCAAGAACTTTGTGTATTTACTTTTTACCTAAAATCCATAAACCTAACAACCCAGGTCGACACATCATTTCTGCATGCAGTTGTCCCACCAAACTTATTTCCAGCAATTTAGACAAAATTATGGCACCTATCGTCAAAACTTTACCATTTTACATTAAGGACAGCCAACATGCACTTGAAATTTTTAGAGACTTTAATTTCCTCGGCTAATACAAACTTATTTTCACTATGGACTTTCAAATGCGCTTGCTATCGATGCAAAACTTGTCCTTTCATTCATAACCTAGAGAAAATATTGGGACCTAAGAGATCCATTAAGATCACTGATCACTTTACATGTACCTCCGCCAAAGTCATTTACTGCATAACTTGCACTTACTGCAATAAGTTATACATTGGTGAAACAGGAAGATGACTAGGTGACCGATTCCAAGAACACCTTCGCAATGTGGAAAGAAATGACAAGGACACATCCAAACCAGTCGCTAGATACTTTAATCTTCCTAATCATTCAAAACAACATATGGCAGTTTGCAGCCTTTCCTTACATCTAGGCAGTTTGGAAAGCCGCAAAACACTAGAACAAAAATTTATCTTCCAAATTGGCACCCTTAATCCTCACGATATCAACAAGTACTTTTCATTCCACCAATTTATTCCTGTTTTCTCATCACCATATTCCCACCAAAAGGGTAGCTCCACTTTCTGCATATAAGCCCTCACACAACCCACAATTCCTTCAATCACTCAAAAAGTCTGCTTTTTCACCCTTGACGGAGGCCAATAAATATGTTTTCAACTCAGTTGTTAACACTAAATTACCTGCTATACTCTCCCACCGATACAGCACCACAGTTTCTGTAGCAACTTACCCCCTTTATTCATACTGAGTCAGTTGAGTTGTTTTGTACGCATACTATTAAAGTGTGTTGTCCATTGTTATATATGATTAAAGTAAGGTGGGTTTTTCATCTTAAATAGCAATGTTACCCACGTTAAATAAGTTTTGTATATGTGGCATCCATTTTTGACATGGATGCCACATGCTCATGGAGCTGATTGAGTCCACTGACCATCAATTATCAAAAGCTTTGATAGATCTACCTCTTGAGACAGTGCACTTAAGGGAAGAGGAATTTGAAATGCATGAATGGAATGCAACTATAAAATATCTTTGCACACATTTGAATTATTCTGTGATGTTGATGTACAGTGCAATACCACCAACTCAAACTCCCAAGGGAAACAAAAAATTGGTGGAATTAAGTTAAATGTAGTTTGTGTCCTGTTAATAAGTCATTTAAGGAATTATTTTACCTTTCCTGCAATCAACAGTCATTTTTTTTAACTTTAGACTGTTTTATAAGAGCCTTTTTACAAGTTTTTATATTTAGTTAAGCTATATGTATTTTATTTTCATAAATGTTATCACATTCAGCTATGTTCTGACATTTTGACATTAATCAAGCAACATTTTTACTAAAAGTATGAGTTATTAGGGTGAATTTGAGGAAAGGGAAAGTCAAATTAGTTTTAGTTTACATTGAGTTTGAGTTAAGCAAGTTTGAGTTAGCTGATGGTAAATGACTGGAAAACTGGAGTCAAATCCAAGGGAAATTGCATCTTGTTTAAGTTAGTGGGGGTTTGAGTTAACCAGGTTCAGGAAAAAAGGGTTCCTCTTACAGTGCATCTGTTTCTTTTGTTTCTAGCTTTGTCATGTAAATAAGCTTTCGCCCAGACCTTCACCATCACATGCAGTCCAAACTGACTCAAGCAGTGTTTCAACATCAGTAGGTAAGTTGGGCCTAAATATGAGAATGCAGAGACAATGCCTGAAACTGTTAACTTATATCGTTCTATTAAAGGACTGGAACCTAGCAGACTCGAGTAAGGCAGTCTGCCACTAAGTTGACCCTTTTTTTACTGTCTTTAACGCGGTATTGCGGTGAAGAACAACTCGCATTGCGGTGTGGCTCGAACCGACGGTTTTCGATGAAATAAACCATTTCTGAGTTGCAGTCTATTCTCTAACCCTTTTAAAAACTAGATTTTGATAAAACCGTGATAAATTGTCCAACAAAATAAGTAATAAATCCGAGTTAACCTGAAATAAACATTAGCTGACTGACCCCTAACCGAATTTGGTAATATGTTACTCGACCCCTGGACCTCCATCACACGCACTGTCGGCCAGCCAAAGACAAGCGCGTGGTAAAGATGAGTGAAACCAAAACATTTAAGTACCTTAGTACTCGGTACGGACAACTCATCACGGCTTGTTTATTTCTTAGTACGTTAGAACTGTAGTACTCGGTACGGACAACTCATCACGGCTTGTTTATTTCTAAGTACGTTAGTACTGTAGTACTCGGTACGGACAACTCAACACGGCTTGTTTATTTCTTAGTACGTTAGTACTGTAGTACTCGGTACGGACAACTCATCACGGCTTGTTTATTTCTAAGTACGTTAGTACTGTAGTACTCGGTACGGACAACTCAACACGGCTTGTTTATTTCTTAGTACGTTAGTACTGTAGTACTCGGAACGGTCAACTCATCACGGCTTGTTTATTTCTTAGTACGTTAGTACTGTAGTACTCGGTACAGACACTCATCACGGCTTGTTTATTTCTTAGTACTTTAGTACTGTAGTACTCGGTACGGACAACTCATCACGGCTTGTTTATTTCTTAGTACGTTAGTACTGTAGTACTCGGTACGGACAACTCATCACGGCTTGTTTATTTCTTAGTACGTTAGTACTGTAGTACTCGGAACGGTCAACTCATCACGGCTTGTTTATTTCTTAGTACGTTAGTACTGTAGTAATCCGTACGGACAACTCATCAAGGCTTGTTTATTTCTTAGTACGTTAGTACTGTAGTACTCGGTACGGACAACTCATCACGGCTTGTTTATTTCTTAGTACGTTAGTACTGTAGTACTCGGTACGGACAACTCATCAAGGCTTGTTTATTTCTTAGTACGTTAGTACTGTAGTACTTGGTACGGACAACTCATCACGGCTTGTTTATTTCTTAGTACGTTAGTACTGTAGTACTTGGTACGGACAACTCATCACGGCTTGTTTATTTCTTAGTACGTTAGTACTCTAGTACTCGGTACAGACACTCATCAAGGCTTGTTTATTTCTTAGTACGTTAGTACCGTAGTACTCGGTACGGTCAACTCATCACGGCTTGTTTATTTCTTAGTACGTTAGTACTGTAGTACTCGGTACGGACAACTCATCACGGCTTGTTTATTTCTTAGTACGTTAGTACCGTAGTGCTCGGTACGGACAACTCAACACGGCTTGTTTATTTCTTAGTACGTTAGTACTGTAGTACTCGGTAAGGACAACTCATCACGGCTTGTTTATTTCTTAGTACGTTAGTACTGTAGTACTTGGTACGGACAACTCATCACGGCTTGTTTATTTCTTAGAACGATAGTACTGTAGTACTCGGTACGGTCAACTCAACACGGCTTGTTTATTTCTTAGTACGTTAGTACTGCGGTACTCGGTACGGACAACTCCTCACGGCTTGTTTATTTGCTAAGTACGTTAGAACTGTAGTACTCGGTACGGACAACTCATCACGGCGTGTTCTTCATCTATTTAGTGCCTTAGTATGTTAGTACCTTAGTACTCGGTACAGACACTCACAACGGCATGTTTATTTCTTAGTAGGTTAGAACTGTAGTACTCGGTACGGTCAACTCATCACGGCTTGTTTATTTGCTTAGTATGTTAGTACTGTGGTACTCGGTACAGACACTCACCACGGCTTGTTTATTTCTTAGTACGTTAGTATTGTAGTACTCGGTACAGACAACTCATCACGGCTTGTTTATTTCTTAGTACGTTAGTACTAGAGTACTCGGTACAGACAACTCATCACGACTTGTTCTTCATCTCTTTAGTGCCTTAGTACGTTAGTACCTTAGTACTCGGTACAGACACTCACCACGGCATGTTTATTTCTTAGTACGTTAGTACCGTAGTACTCGGTACAGACACTCACCACGGCTTGTTTATTTCTTAGTACGTTAGTACTGTAGTACTCGGTACAGACAACTCATCACGGCTTGTTTATTTCTTAGTACGTTAGTACTAGAGTACTCGGTACAGACAACTCATCACGACTTGTTCTTCATTTGTTTAGTGCCTTAGTACGTTAGTATCTTAGTACTCGGTACAGACACTCACCAGGGCATGTTTATTTGCTTAGTACGTTAGTACTGTAGTACTCGGTACGGACAACTCATCACGGCTTGTTATTCATTTGTTTAGTGCCTTAGTACGTTAGTACCTAAGTACTCATGTTTATTTGTTTAGTACGTTAGTACTGTAGTACTCGGTACGGACAACTCATCACGGCTTGTTATTCATTTGTTTAGTGCCTTAGTTCGTTAGTACCTAAGTACTCGTTACAGACACTCACCACGGGTAACTTTTTTGGGGCAAGAATAATACAAGAATAAACAAGCAAAATAAATAGGTCTAAAAAAAACTAGAAAAATGATTCTTATTTTGGGCATGGTGTAAACAACCAGCTTAGCTATGAGTGGGATTCTGATTTCACCAATGTTAGGCATTTTACATCCTTGAAAGAACCTTAGATTACCCTGTACTTAATGTAATTTTTATACAATTTTCTACTATTAAGGTTTCCAAGTAGATTGGAGTATTTTTTCTGAAGGGGGGAAGGCAGAAACTTTTTATTTTCGACATTTTTCAGCATTAATGAACCTGGATTCAAGATTTTTTTATATGGTCAACCTATTTCCATGCTTATTTCATATGGAAATGAATCAAACTTGATTTGGTGACCTATAAGTTTTTTTTTTCTGTTCAGGTCTTAACATAATTTAGTTAAATTTTTTTGATGTTCCTTGCAAGTTGCTTGGAAAAAAGTCTCCTTTGAGTCTCTTCTTTCTTCTAACAAAATATTTTGATCACAAATGGGAAAGTAGATTGTTTGCCAGCACCACTTTTTTGAAGAAAAAGAGGGAGTTTTTTTCAGTAATTTCTCATCTATTGACTTACAAATGTATTTGAATGTGTATTTCCGCAATTTTTTGTATTACTTGAATGAAATTCAAGTCAAGAATTTTGTACATATAATGTATGAATTCTGCTACATGCAGATCTGTTTAGTGTTTGGGTTTAGTTTAAAATTAAAAAGCCATATTCTAAAAAATTGATTTAAAAAAATTTAAGGTTAGTAAGCCTTTGGTAATGTAAGTAGTGAAATGGCTACAAGTTTGTGTCAAATTTTGTAAATGAAACTTTACTTAAATCATCAGTTAGAAAGATTATTAGAGATATAAAAGGGTATAAACAATAAAGAGATGTAACTCCTTCCAGCAACAGTTTATTATGAATTGTAAAGGATTTATTATATAGGAAAAAGATTTCGCTTTATTTAGAATGAACAATGACATTTGTATTTCAAGAGCCCAGAAAGAAGCCAACTGCTACCAGAGTTCAGTGTGATGTTTATGCTGCCCAAAATCCGGAAGTTTTAATTGTTTCTGAGGGAAAGACTTTGTTAGCAGGGTATCCGCCGCTTTCGCCCCCTATCGAGTTCGCCCCTACCTTATACCGTGTTCGCCCCCACACTTTTCGAGTTCGACCCCATCAAGTCGAGTTCGCCCCTTGATTGAGTGATATCCAGATGATTTGATTCGTAAGTTGATGAGTAAATTCTTCAGTCTTAATTTCATAAATAGAGCTAAACGGGTACAAGTCTAACAACTTCGGCAATGCTGTTGCGATGAAAGCGTGGTTTGCATCTTCTCAAGTCTGGTTGTTACGATCAACACATTTCGTGTTCGTTAGATAAACCGTGTGGTTCTCTTTATCACAAGTTCAGTGTATACAGTTATTTCTGGTAACCCCAGATCCCACGCAGAGTATTTAGTTGATTCCGTCAACCCAGTTCCCAAGCAGGTTCCACGCAATTGCCGAAATTCAAAATGGTCGTCGCTGACGTGACATTTGGCACATTCTGCTAGTGCCTTCGTCACAAATCAACTCATCTAGATATCACTCAATGAAGGGGCGAACTTGACTTGATGGGGTCGAACTCGAAAAGTGTGGGGGCGAACACGGCATAAGGTAGGGGCGAACTCGAAGGGGCGAACTCGATAGGGGGCGAACGCGGTGCAATTCGTTAGCAGCCAACCCCTCCTTAAGTGTAGAGTGATGTGTCTCTAGATTCAAGAATGGAATTGTGTCATCAGGTGGTTAAAAAAGCAGATTCCTAGTTTCTTGTTGAGCTATAACAGGCCAAAAAAGGGATTTTTTTCCTCCCAAGCTTCCTAGACATTTTATAAGAAAAATTGAAAGATGTATGAAATGAGGAAATTACCCCCAGACATGCAGTATATAACGTGCAACCAAAGTATAACTCCTAATTTCATGAGTAATTCTCTATAATAATGATGAACTGTCTGTTTCATTTTGTTGTAATATTCTCGGATAAGTGTCGGTATATAAAGGTTATCATTTAGCAGCATTCCAGTATCGTACTCCTTTAACCCCCAAAGGACGTTGTTAGGTATATTTCCTAATCCATCGCCCTGTAGTCCACTGTCCGCACTATTGCAGGTAAATTAATCAATCATGTGACCAAAGTACTTTAGAACTACCCACACTCAATGCCATACATTTTCCCTTCCAATCAGTGCGGAAAGTTTATCTTTGACTGAGTTGACTACTCCGCGAGGGAGCGTTTATGTCAACCATGGGCTGAGTTCAATATTTTTCACCTCGTAATCATGTCTTCAAGTGATTGGTTCACCGGCGAAGTTTGTGGTCATTCCTTTTAAAGGCTTTTAGCAGCGGAAACCAGTGGCAATAGTCAAGATTACAAGTGCGTTAGTGATTGAAGGTATTCGATTGAGGAAGTACGATTTTTATATGTTTCAGGACCTGTTCGTTGCCTCTTTCAGATATAAAGATCCCCTAATGTTATCTTTAAATGTGTAGGTTGTCCTTGAGCTATTTATCGTGAGGAAACATGCAAATTTGAAATCTAAGATTTCAGCATTCGTGGCGCCATACAAAAGTGCTAAGTTTGCCACGTTTGCTTTGCTGGAAACTCGCGGAAAGCTCTTTTTCTTCGCCAACTCAAGGTTACTTCTTCCGAAGAAGTCCATTCAATTAGGGATGTATCTAATTTTGTGAAACTTTCCTAATTGAAAGTTCGTTAAAACCAAAATTAAATTTGCATCTCATTTTAAACATACCGTGAGCTATATTCTCCCCCCCCCCCATGAAGGTGAAATGGAAACAACAGAACCCAACTTCGTTTCCCTCCTGTTCCCTTGCTTCTGTTTCACCTTTGAATGTTTTGCTCAGTGTTTTTTAGGTGATAAATCTCTGACTTTCAATAACAAACATAATTCTTAGATTACTTTCAAACCAAAATGTCTCAAATCAAACATCTTGTCAAAAATTGTAATTAGATCCCTTTACAGGAATGAAAGACCCAGCCTTGTTTCTAGGGTCCTCTCTCTCTTCCTACTTTAACCCTTTAACCCCTAAGGGTGACTAGCATCTAAATTCTCCTTACAATATCACCCCTGAATCACACATTAAGGTCATGAGTTTTAGAATGCTATTATGTCATTGGGTTGGTTGGTATAAAGCAGATTCCCAGTTTCTTGTTGAGCTAAAACAGGCCGAAAAGGGTTTTTTTTCTCTCCAGGGGAATTGGGGAATTTGAATCTTGTCTGGATGGGTTGAGGAATTTGAACTAGAACCAATAGGCTGATCAAGTTATCACGATTGGACCCAAGCTGGCAGAAGTTTACAAGCGTTACCTTTGTCCAGTTAAACAAGAGGAAAATGTTTTTGACCTTACTCCAAGCATTTTCTCTGAATTTTTGGAAGTAAAGCAAGCAACTAAAGAAAGAAAAACATTCTTTATTCTTGTAATTGGAAGTGGTGACAGCTGTGCAGATTTCAATGTCAAAGGTTACGATATAGCTGCCAAAGCAATTGCTGAGTTGAAAGATGAATCTTACAAACTCAAGTTTGTCTGCGCAGCTGGAGGTAAAGGAGATATTGGAGATAAGTTGCTCCACCATGGTATTGGTCGTAATCATCTTATCATTCGTAGCTTTGATGATAGCAGAGAAGTGCTGGCTGACTTATTCTGTGAAGTGGATCTTGCAATAATGCCATCAAGGACGGAAGGTTTTGGAATAAAAGCTTTGGAAGCGTTATCTGCTGGTCTGCCTGTACTTGTCAGTGGTAATTCAGGACTTGGAGAAACTCTGAAGCAAGTGCTTTTAGGCTCATAGAGTGTGGTAGACTCTGAAGATCCTAAATACTGGGCCAGAGAAATCAAGCGTGTCCGTCAGAAAAAGAGAGAAGTGCGACTTTCAGAGTCAAGTCTTCTGCGTGAAAAGTACTTGGAAAAGTATACCTGGGAGGTGCCTTGTAAGAGTCTTGTGATAAAGATGAAGAAGCTTATCTTTGGTAAATTTACTTAAATTTAAATGTTACAGCCTTAACTTGTCTAATAACTGATAAACCAGGTATACTGGTAAAATGTTGAATCAGCCTTGAGTTGACTTGGACCTGTGGTTACCATAAGTTTTTTTATAGACCTGAATCAAACAGTCAAATAGTTTAAAATGGTAAATACTCGGGAAAGGTAAACTTACTTGTTATGTAATAATCTTACCTACAAGGTTAGGAACAGTGTTTCAGAGTTTTGAAATATGTACTTGGTAAAGTGCATTTGCATGGGAAATACTTTCTGTAGTTATTTTACTCAAGACATACATGTAAAGCAGGTACTGTTGAACGTTGAACAAGCATGGTCAACTTGGTTGGTGTCTTAATTTAGATTGACCTTTTTTAGATTATAAGGAAAAAAATGAAGGATAATCATAACAGGGTCAGAGTTCCATGCCAAGTCTTTTGTGTGAATGATACTCAAAACAGGGTGTTGCGGCAAACGAACATCAAGGCTCGATGAAGGGCCAAGAAAATCGCGACCGGAGAAAAATGCCAACCAAACCAGGGGATATGTTACAGGGACATAACTTTAATCAATCTCGTAAACTGTAAGCGAATTAAAAAAGGGACTTATATAATAGATTGTATTCAATTAAACATGGCCTTAACAGCGTAAATGAATCTTAATAAAGGAACTAATAAATGAACCAAGAGCTACGGCAAACACAAGATATATATACAAATAAAGACGAAAGAGCTTGCTCGAAACGAGATAAACAACAAAACAAGCGAAAACAACTTACATGTCAGTCCCTATACGCCGGTGGCTTGAAATCAAACGTTATAAATTAACTTTGGATGAACACCGAACATGAACAGGCGATTAATGAAAGCGGGAGAGAAAAACTATCTGAAGGAATCAAATGGCACAAAGGCCAACTGTAACACAAATGTCACGCAAGTTTAAAAGTCGCGCATTTACACAGGGAAACCTGTACAAAATGTCAGCTTTAAAAGCCTTTACAGAGGCCATTTTACGTTATCAACTCAGTTGATAATACTTAATTACCCTGTTATACTCTTCTTTCAATGCAGCACCAAAGTTGCTTTAGAAACTTACCCCCTTCATTAAAATCCTCTTGTAGTTGACCTTACTCAGTATACCTTTGTTGTCACACAATCATTTTGCAACAAGTTCTTGAAAAACATCTTAAGCTTTGAAAACTGTTGTTCCCTCTGTTCCCAAATACTCAATTCTCAACCTGTGTAGTTCTTTCTGTTTTACTCTTACGCCATATGCCATGATTTTGTCAGCAACCTGTCATGTACATGTATAAGAATAAAGTAATGATCATTAAGTTGTTTTTCTTTTAGGTGGGAATGAACAAGTCATCCGTAACCTTCAACAGTGGCAACAGAATGCCAGTAGATATAAGATCAGCAGCAACACAGACCCACTCTCAGACTTAGAGAAGATTGCTTCAGAAAAGGGCTATAAAATTTCTGACAATCAAGGGTCAGGGAATTGTATGTTCTATGCCTTGTCAGAGCAACTGGAGACTGTCAAAGGAGTAAAGATCCATCATTTTGAATTGAGGCGGTCCTTAGTTCAGTATCTAAGAGAGCACCCAAAACAGGTGAGTATATTTGGTAAAGTACATGTAATGTCTAGGACAGATACTACAAATGTATCTTCTGCTCCACATTCAAGTTAAATGTGAGCAATTATTATTAGAACATTTTCAAGGCTTTTATCAGGAAAAAAAAATCAGTGTACATGTGTGATACATGAAGTTGAAGTTGACACAATTAGAAAGGACAACTTGTCTTTGTATCATTACAATGTCTTTCTTTCTTGTTTTAACTTGTTGCTATGTTTTTTTAGAACAACTGTGGCAAGTATAATGCTGATGAACTTGTTTATAATCATTCATTTAAATTAATCCTTTTTTGCTATTAGAATTTTAAAGATTATATATCATGATGTTAGTTGTAAAATTACTCAATCCAACGTATACAGGGAGTACTATTAAGGACTATTGAGCCTAGTTACTAAAGAGTCTTGTATTCATCTGTGAATACTTTTGAAGGTAATACCTATTATATGAAAATATTACCATACTGAATCATTACAAGTAACTCTATTGCTATTAATATTACATGTTATCTTGTTGGACTTTCTCTTAAAGGTGGATGGAACAGATCTGTTTCACTTTGTTGATAGACACACAACGTGGGGTGGTTACTTAACAGACATGGAACAAGATGGCACTTGGGGTGATCATGTGATTCTCTGGGCTGCAGCAAACTGTTATCAAATAGCCATTCATGTGATTAGTAGTCTTCCAGGCCATAGTGAGGTAATTATCAAGCCAGATTGTCCATTTGACCAAAGCAAGCATCTTGTACTGGGACATGTCCATGAAGTACACTACGTCAGCCTTCAGCCCTTACAAGGTAAAGCTCAGAACATAACACATTTAAAAATTGGCCTATCTGTGAATTTTGCCAACAAGATATTTTAAATATAATAACTGAGTGCATTCTACAAGTGTGTTTAACTCCTATACAGCTACAGGCTGTACATGTATACATGAATTACCATTTCATAAAAGCTTGCAGAACTGACTGTTTTGATTTATCTGTGATGTGAACAGACCTCTCTAACTTGTACATGTACTGTTTGTTTTGTTGATCCATTTCACTGGTCTTGTGATATTTACTCTGACTAGAGAACTTTTTCTTTCTTCTCTGATCCTTTCTTTTTATGAATGTAGATTACGATAGCAGCATTCATCTTTCGTAACAACTTTTTTCTTCAAACAAAGAGTTATGTCAAGTAAGAGAAGGGAACTAGAGGCAGAATCTGATTTGAAAAGTTATGACATGAGGATCTTACTTGATTTTACCAATATCAAATTTTTAATTTATTAAGTCTATGAGAACTTATTTTACATGAGAAATTCAGTATATTCTAATGATATATGTGGTTCCTTCACTACTACAAAGCCAATCAAATATGATCTACTTGCCACTGCATACTGTTGGTAATCGTTGTTAATTTATTTTGGTGCATGTATGTTTATCAGAAACTAGGGCAACTACACCAGGGAGGGATAAGAGACCAGCATCTGTCAGTGCAGATCAGCCTCGCAAGCAATTCAGGAAAGAGTTGACTAATCATGACTACTGTGAAGGTAAATTGTGAGGGTATGAGGTGAATAATCCAATCCAAATTCCTTCCATCATTTGTAGCTCATGAAAGCAAAAGTGTTAATATTGGTTGGTACTTTACAGGCATTTTTGGAGACGATCTCCTTGTTTTCCCCTCTGTGTAGATTTATCTGTCTGTTCAGTTAAATGAGACATCAAGTTTACACTATTGGCATATCCGGTTTTGACCACTAGACCATTTTTGTTGAAAAATTTTCATAGACAGTTACACAATGGTAGATGAATTGCTTGATTTCTAAATTGCATTACTTAACTTCAAAATTAGAATTAACTCTTCTGTAGCTTCACGATAACAATTTGAATATATAGTAAAACTCAGATTCATGAGGAAAGTTTTTAGAGATGTTTCAGCATGGCTCAGGCCATCATTAGTTTAATGTGTTGAACCCTTAACTTTGTTGTTACATGTTGCATGCAAATATGTAATAAGTTTAAAACAAAAACAATATTTGAAATAAGTACTGTAGTTACAATAGTTGAAATATGTAATAATTACTGTGCACAAATGTAGTGCTTGGAAAGAAAGCTAAGCAAACAAAAAAGTACAATAATGTTGCAACAAGTGTAAAACGTTTAAATTTTTGGCATTAAGTTGTTATGGCTGAGTCTTATATCTGAAAGCACTCAGCTGAACATTTTTGCTTACAATTTGGAAAAGAACACTTGTTTGCTTCCACAGGAACACATACATATGCTGCCCGTTTTAGGAAAGATTTCTTTTAGTTTTTTGCTTAGTCATCAGTACTACAGTACTAACGGTGTTCACCAGTACTGCAGTACTATCAGTACGTATGCTAACTGTGTCACTAGCGTACTAACTCCACTTTTCCGATGAATGAACTGCGTCTTTATGTACTAGCGTTCGATTAAAGGACTGCATGTCACTAGCGTACCAACGTACTAGCGTACTAACTACACTTCTCGAACAAGCACGAATGACTTGCGTACCAACGTACTAGGGTTCGATTAAAGGACTGCATGTCTCTTGTGTACCAACGTACTAGCGTACTAACTCCACTTCTCCGACAACCATGAATGACATGCGTCCTTGTGTACAAGCGTTCGATCAGAGGACTGCATGTAACTAGCGTACTAACTCCACTTTTCCGATGAATGAACTGCGTCTTTAAGTACTAGCGTTCGATTAAAGGACTGCATGTCACTAGCGTACCAACGTAATAGCGTACTAACTACACTTCTCGAACACGCATGAATGACTTGCGTACCAACGTACTAGGGTAGATTAAAGGACTGCATGTCTCTTGTGTACCAACGTACTAGCGTACTAACGTCACCTCGCGAATTATAACAAATGACTAGCGTACTAACGTACTAGCGTTCTATTAAAGGACCGGAACCTAGCAGACTCGAGTAAGGCAGTCTGCACTAAGTTGACCCTTTTTTTATTGTTTTCAACGTGGTATTGCGGTGAAGAACAACTCGCATTGCGGTGTGGCTCGAACCGACGGTTTTCGGTGAAATAAACCATTTCCGAGTTGCAGTCTATTCTCTAACCCTTTTAAAAACTAGATTTTGATAAAACCGTGAAAAATAGTCCAACGAAATAAGTAATAAATCCGAGTAAATCTGAAATAAACATTTGCTGACTGACCCCTGACCAAATTTGGTAATATTTTACTTGACCCCTGGACCTCCATCACACGCACTGTCGGCCAGCCAAAGACAAGCACGTGGTAAAGATGAGTGAAACCGAAACATTTAAGTACTTAGTACTCGGTACGGACACCTCATCACGGCTTGTTTATTTCTTAGTACGTTATTACTGTAGTACTCGGTACGGACAACTCATCACGACTTGTTTATTTCTTAGTACGTTAGTACTGTAGTACTCGGTACAGACACTCATCACGGCTTGTTTATTTCTTAGTACATTAGTACTGTAGTACTCGGTACAGTCAACTCATTACGGCTTGTTTATTTGTTATTACGTTAGTACTGCAGTACTCGGTACAGACACTCATCACGGCTTGTTTATTTCTAAGTACGTTAGTACTGTAGTACTCGGTACGGTCAACTCATCACGGCTTGTTTATTTCTTAGTACGTTAGTACTGTAGTAATCCGTACGGACAACTCGTCACGGCTTGTTTATTTCTAAGTACGTTAGTACTGTAGTAATCCGTACGGACAACTCATCACGGCTTGTTTATTTCTTAGTACGTTAGTACTGTAGTAATCCGTACGGACAACTCGTCACGGCTTGTTTATTTCTTAGTACGTTAGTGCTGTAGTAATCCGTACGGACAACTCATCAAGGCTTGTTTATTTCTTAGTACGTTAGTACTGTAGTACTCGGTACGGTCAACTCATCACGGCTTGTTTATTTCTTAGTACGTTAGTACTGTAGTACTCGGTACGGACAACTCATCACGGCTTGTTTATTTCTTAGTACGTTAGTACTGTAGTACTCGGTACGGTCAACTCATCACGGCTTGTTTATTTCTTAGTACGTTAGTACTGTAGTACTCGGTACAGACACTCATCACGGCTTGTTTATTTCTTAGTACATTAGTACTGTAGTACTCGGTACAGTCAACTCATCACGGCTTGTTTATTTGTTATTACGTTAGTACTGCAGTACTCGGTACAGACACTCATCACGGCTTGTTTATTTCTAAGTACGTTAGTACTGTAGTACTCGGTACGGTCAACTCATCACGGCTTGTTTATTTCTTAGTACGTTAGTACTGTAGTAATCCGTACGGACAACTCGTCACGGCTTGTTTATTTCTTAGTACGTTAGTACTGTAGTAATCCGTACGGACAACTCATCACGGCTTGTTTATTTCTTAGTACGTTAGTACTGTAGTAATCCGTACGGACAACTCATCACGGCTTGTTTATTTCTTAGTACGTTAGTACTGTAGTAATCCGTACGGACAACTCATCAAGGCTTGTTTATTTCTTAGTACGTGAGTACTGTAGTACTCGGTACGGACAACTCATCACGGCTTGTTTATTTCTTAGTACGTTAGTACTGTAGTACTCGGTACGGTCAACTCATCACGGCTTGTTTATTTCTTAGTACGTTAGTACTGTAGTACTCGGTACAGACACTCATCACGGCTTGTTTATTTCTTAGTACATTAGTACTGTAGTACTCGGTACAGTCAACTCATCACGGCTTGTTTATTTGTTATTACGTTAGTACTGCAGTACTCGGTACAGACACTCATCACGGCTTGTTTATTTCTAAGTACGTTAGTACTGTAGTACTCGGTACGGTCAACTCATCACGGCTTGTTTATTTCTTAGTACGTTAGTACTGTAGTAATCCGTACGGACAACTCGTCACGGCTTGTTTATTTCTTAGTACGTGAGTACTGTAGTACTCGGTACGGACAACTCATCACGGCTTGCTTATTTCTTAGTACGTTATTACTGTAGTACTCGGTACGGACAACTCATCACGGCTTGTTTATTTCTTAGTACGTGAGTACTGTAGTACTCGGTACGGACAACTCATCAAGGCTTGTTTATTTCTTAGTACGTGAGTACTGTAGTACTCGGTACGGACAACTCATCACGGCTTGCTTATTTCTTAGTACGTTATTACTGTAGTACTCGGTACGGACAACTCATCACGGCTTGTTTATTTCTTAGTACGTGAGTACTGTAGTACTCGGTACGGACAACTCATCAAGGCTTGTTTATTTCTTAGTACGTTAGTACTGTAGTACTCGGTACGGACAACTCATCACGGCTTGTTTATTTCTTAGTACGTTAGTACTGTAGTACTCGGTACGGACAACTCATCACGGCTTGTTTATTTCTTAGTACGTTAGTACTGTAGTACTCGGTACGGACAACTCATCACGGCTTGCTTAATTCTTAGTACGTTATTACTGTAGTAATCCGTACGGACAACTCACCAAGGCTTGTTTATTTCTTAGTACGTGAGTACTGTAGTACTCGGTACGGACAACTCATCACGGCTTGTTTATTTCTTAGTCCGTTAGTACTGTAGTACTCGGTACGGACAACTCATCACGGCTTGTTTATTTCTTAGTACGTGAGTACTGTAGTACTCGGTACGGACAACTCATCACGGCTTGTTTATTTCTTAGTACGTTAGTACTGTAGTACTCGGTACGGACAACTCATCACGGCTTGTTTATTTCTTAGTACGTTAGTACTGTAGTACTCGGTACGGACAACTCATCACGGCTTGTTTATTTCTTAGTACGTTAGTACTGTAGTACTCGGTACGGACAACTCATCACGGCTTGTTTATTTCTTAGTACGTTAGTACTGTAGTACTCGGTACGGACAACTCATCACGGCTTGTTTATTTCTTAGTACGTGAGTACTGTGGTACTCGGTACGGACAACTCATCACGGCTTGTTTATTTCTTAGTACGTTAGTACTGTAGTACTCGGTACGGACAACTCATCACGACGTGTTTATTTCTTAGTACGTTAGTACTGTAGTACTCGGTACGGACAACTCATCACGGCTTGCTTATTTCTTAGTACGTTATTACTGTAGTAATCCGTACGGACAACTCATCAAGGCTTGTTTATTTCTTAGTACGTGAGTACTGTAGTACTCGGTACGGACAACTCATCACGGCTTGTTTATTTCTTAGTACGTTAGTACTGTAGTACTCGGTACGGACAACTCATCACGGCTTGTTTATTCCTTAGTACGTGAGTACTGTAGTACTCGGTACGGACAACTCATCACGGCTTGTTTATTTCTTAGTACGTTAGTACTGTAGTACTCGGTACGGACAACTCATCACGGCTTGTTTATTTCTTAGTACGTTAGTACTGTAGTACTCGGTACGGACAACTCATCACGGCTTGTTTATTTCTTAGTACGTTAGTACTGTAGTACTCGGTACGGACAACTCATCACGGCTTGTTTATTTCTTAGTACGTTATTACTGTAGTACTCGGTACGGACAACTCGTCACGGCTTGTTTATTTCTTAGTAGTTATTACTGTAGTACTCGGTACGGACAACTCATCACGGCTTGTTTATTTCTTAGTACGTTATTACTGTAGTACTCGGTACGGACAACTCGTCACGGCTTGTTTATTTCTTAGTAGTAATTACTGTAGTACTCGGTACGGACAACTCATCACGGCTTGTTTATTTCTTAGTACGTTATTACTGTAGTACTCGGTACGGACAACTCATCACGGCTTGTTTATTAGCTTGGACGTTAGTACTGTAGTACTCGGTACGGACAACTCACCACGGCTTGTTTATTTGCTTAGTACGTTAATACTGTAGTACCCGGTACGGACAACTCGTCACGGCGTGTTCTTGATCTCTTTAGTGCCTTAGTACGTTAGTACCTTAGTACACGGTACAGACACTTATCACGGCTTGTTTATTTCTTAGTACGTTAGTACTGTAGTACTCGGTATGGTCAACTCAACACGGCTTGTTTATTAGCTTAGTACGTTAGTACTGTGGTACTCGGTACGGACAACTCATCACGGCGTGTTCTTCATCTCTTTAGTGCCTTAGTACGTTAGTACCTTAGTACTCGGTACAGACACTCACCACGGCATGTTTATTTCTTAGTACGTTAGTACCGTAGTACTCGATACAGACACTCACCACGGCATGTTTATTTCTTAGTACGTTAGTACCGTAGTACTCGATACAGACACTCACCACGGCATGTTTATTTCTTAGTACGTTAGTACCGTAGTACTCGATACAGACACTCACCACGGCATGTTTATTTCTTAGTACGTTAGTACTGTAGTACTCGGTACGGTCAACTCATCACGGCTTGTTTATTTGCTTAGTACGTTAGTACCGTAGTACTCGGTACAGACACTCACCACGGCTTGTTTATTTCTTAGTACGTTAGTACTGTAGTACTCGGTACAGACACTCACCACGGCTTGTTTATTTCTTAGTACGTTAGTACCGTAGTACTCGGTACAGACACTCACCACGGCTTGTTTATTTCTTAGTACGTTAGTACTGTAGTACTCGGTACGGACAACTCATCACGGCTTGTTCTTCATCTCTTTAGTGCCTTAGTACGTTAGTACCGTAGTACTCGGTACAGACACTCACCACGGCTTGTTTATTTCTTAGTACGTTAGTACTGTGGTACTCGGTACAGACAACTCGTCACGGCGTGTTCTTCATCTCTTTAGTGCCTTAGTACGTTAGTACCGTAGTACTCGGTACAGACACTCACCACGGCTTGTTTATTTCTTAGTACGTTAGTACCGTAGTACTCGGTACAGACACTCACCACGGCTTGTTTATTTCTTAGTACGTTAGTACTGTAGTACTCGGTACGGACAACTCATCACGGCTTGTTCTTCATTTGTTTAGTGCCTTAGTAAGTTAGTACGTAAGTACTCGGTACAGACACTCACCACGGGTAACGTTTTCGGAGCAAGAATAATACAAGAATAAACAAGCAAAATAAATAAGTCTGATCAAACCGGCTTAATTCTTTTAGTACCTTAATCATCCGTACTAAGCCAAAAAACTAGAAAAATGATTCCTATTTTGCGCATGGTATAGTGAACAGACCTCCACAGCTAGCTATGGACTATAGGAGGGAGAATCAGACAGCAGGGGAGTCAACTGCCAACTCCTCAACTGCAATATTCAGACCTTTGAATGTACCAGCAACGTCAGCTTTTCCATCATCACAAGCACCAAGTACTCCAGCACAATCAACATACTCAATGCCCAGAGGGTCTGCAGCTTCTTTACCTGCAAATGAGGTGAGATCATGGCAATCATTTTGTACCCACCTAGGTCGATTCATATCAGGTCAGTTGAGTTGTTCCATACCCATACTAATAGAGTGTGTTTTCCATTGTTACATAATGTTTAAAGTAAGGTGGGTTTCTCCTAAATAGCAATGTTACCTGCATTAAATTAGTTTTTGTATATGTGGCATCCATTTTTGACATGCAACCGCCAAAGAGAGAAAAAATCACACTTACACTAGTTGTTATTGTTAAAATAGTTGCAAAAATAAACAACACACTGTTCTGTTAAAGATATCACACTTATCTTGTGCTAGTCAATAATATTATTTACAACAGAATTTTGTTTTTATCTTACTTGCTTGACTCCACTAACTTGTTGTACACAACAAGTGATATCTGTTCACACACTTGCATGTGAGGTATTTCAAATGAATGTTTATTGGGATGGGTACAAATCAACCAGTAGTTTGGTTACAAACCAACTCAAATGGTACAAATCAACTGAATTTTGGTAAGAAGCAATCTAGGGTACAAAACCACTTGATGCCATTTAGCATGAGTTGGGTTTTTAATATTAAATGTCTTCTCAGTGGTTTTACAGAATGAGTAATTTTAACAACATCTCTCCTTACACTCTGGCTGTTTTTAATCTGAGTCTGCATGAGACAAATCAAAATCACTTCTTCTATGAAGTTCAGTAAAAAAGCCACAGTAGTTTGTTTACTCTTTGTTTTCTCAAATTTATTTGCTGTTTGAATAACTTCCTTTCTTTCCCTAAACTTGTTAGTTATTTTCCTCATTTGCCTTCAGTTTGGTTTTGGTTTGATCTTCTCCTGGGTTTGATTGTGGTTCTCAATTCTGCTTGTCTTTTAACAGTTTCCATGTGGTTACTTCTTTTCCTTTTCAGATTTCTCCTTAAATAACATTCTCCATTATAGTATTTTCTGGGTAGTATTTACTCATGTATCTGTCTTATAATTCATGCTTCCTTGGCAGTGCATGCTTATCAGAATTCAATCACTCAGACTGGCTCATGGAGCTGATTGAGTCCAGTGACCATCAATTATCAATAACTTTGATAGAGCTAGCTCTTGAGACAGTGCACCTAAGGGAGAGGAATTTGAAATGCATGAATGGAATGCAACTATAAAATATCTTTGCACACATTTGAATTATTCTGTGATGTTGATGTACAGTGTAACACCACTGACTCAAACTCCCAAGGGAAACAAAAAAAAACAGTAGAAGTTGACCATGGTTTAATTGTGTCCTATTAATAATTAACTTAAGGAATCATGTTTTTAGCATTCTTGCACAATCAACAGTCATTTTCATACATTTACACTGTTTTATAAGAGCTTTTTACAAGTTTAGCTATGTGTTTAATTTTCCTAATATGTTATCACGTTCAGCTATGTTCTGACAATTTGACATTAATCAATATTAATCAACCAACAGTTATTGAGGGTAAATTTGAGGAAAGGGAAAGTCAAATTAGTTTGAGTTTATGTAGAGTTCGAGTTAAGTGAGTCTCAGTTATCTGTTAGTAAATTACTGGAAAAGTGGGGTCAAATGCAAGGGAAATTGCATCTTCTTTAAGTTAGGGGGGTTTGAGTTAACCAGGTTCAAGTAAAAGGGTTCTTCTGACAGTGCATCTGTTTCTTTTGTTTTTAGGCTTGTTATTCAAATTTTCCTGTGCCCAGACCTTTGCCATTATATGCAGTTCAAACTGCCTCAAGCAGTGATTCAATGTCAGTAGGTAAGCTACTCCTAAATATGAGAATGGGGAGATAATACCTGTGACTGTTAACTTATAACTGACAATGTTGACACCAGTGTATTTTAAGACACAACACACAAGCTAGGATAACATCTCATGAATTTAATATCGCATGTCACACCCTTGCTCTGAAGAAATGCACTTATTATTAACCCTTTACATGCACTTTTAAAAATCTCAAATCTGATTCGTTCACTACATTACATCAATGCTTTCAGTACTGAGGCATTCTTCTCCCCCTCAGAATATTTTGACTTTTAATGGCCCGCTGTTTGATCTGATTATTACCTTAAATCATTCTGTATCTCTGGTTTGAGTGTTTTTTGATTTGTTAATTGTACTGCCTTTTTTATCCATCAGTGATATTCTGCTTTTTCACTTTTGTTCTAATTTAAGCTTTAATTGATGAAGTCTACTATCTTTGTTTTGCTTTCACTGGATTTGTTAATACTGGCAACTTCAAAATGTTGCCCTTATTTTCCTTTGAATTGAATTGTGCAACAGCCATGTACCTTTACAATTTGATGCTTTAATCCATCAAATTAACTGCTACATGCAAAGAATATCTTAATTAGGGTAATTTAATTGAAGGGATAGAAAATGGATAGAAGTTACTCCACAGCATGGTTGTATCCCATTTTGTCCTTCTGTATATCAGATCTTCTTATGGTTTACTGTGTCCCAAGGTATAAGTGAAATTACCTAACAGGTGAAATCCCCTTTTTTTATAGAAGAAAGAAAGAGGAGAATGTCCCCTGGCTGCAGTTACCAGGATCCTAAAAAACCCAGAATTACATCTGTGGACTTAGCAGGTTTATTGTTAGACATATTGACTATGATTGAATCCTAATACAATATATAGTTTTAATTATTATACAGTCATGTAATAATGTTGTTGAATAGGATATTCAAGATTATCAGAAATGTTGTGAAAGAGATTTAATTTTAGGAGATGAAGAGTGATTATAGAAAAATAAGTCACATGGAAATTTTTCAAAGTGAAGTTGATGTAGATGAAAGTTTACGCTGATGTTAACTGTGATGTATGTTGCTTAGTTTAGTCCTTTTACAGAGCAGTCAAGTAGAGGATTATGGTGCTGTGCGTGGGTGGGTGTGTGTTTGTGTTTATATACAGTATCATACTTATATATCATACTATGGTGTTATTCTTTTTCACGGGTGTTATGGTAGCAGCTCATGTTTATCTCATGGACAAGACCCCAGTAACAGAATTTATTCCTTTCTTTAGTAAAACAAGGCACACCAACAGATGATGAACTGGAGAAATTAGGCAAAGAAATTGCTGAAAAGTGGATGAAGCTTGGGCGTCGCCTGGAAGTCGGGGAGCCAGAACTACAGGATATAGAACAAAGATACCGGCAGCTGTGTGAGAGAGGATACCACATGTTAATGTACTGGAAACAGAAGAATGGCTCGGCAGCAACTTATCAAATTTTGAATGCTGCATTACAGGATGAAGGCGTGCAGCGCAAAGACTTAGCAGAAGAAATTTGTTACAATCATGGTAATTATTTTCAACAACTTTGAATAATTAGAAATAATTGAAATGATTTATTCCGTGACTGACAGTAAATTTTGTACTAAGCAGACGCTGACCAAAGTTTTGGATTTGTTTCCCCATATTTACTGTAAACCAAACCTGCTTTAAAAGGACACCTCTATTAAGTGGACGCATACAGACACTAAAATTAAGCCCATCTATGACCCAAAACCAGGCAGTTGAAATATTTTATTATTAAGTAAATGCACCTACAGCTGTAATTTCAATAAAATTCAGTTTTAGCAATCCGTCATTAAATAGATCGAACACAAGAGGAAACAGGTTCAAAACAGCTGGATTAATAGCCAACGATATACATTGACGCTGTAACAAACCGACACATGAATTAAGCTGACCATCAATGCCCAGTTTACTGGAACCTATTTGCATGGACATACTGTACAGTGGTGTATGTCCTTGGGATTTTCATTATAAGGAAATACTTCAGCGTGATCTTGCAGTCAAGTGGCTTGCTCCATGTTGGGGAGAGATTCAACAAAGCTCGGCCCTTTAGACACTTGGCATTTTCCATGAATTGCCCATAGGTAGTCCCCTTGTATCATAATGATTTAAAACTTGACTTAAATTTAAAAATATGCAATTATAGAAGAAACAAATTGTGGGTGTGGGGGGTGGGTATTGTAACAGTTGGTTTAGTTCTCCATTTACAGATTCTGACGTCATACCTTAAGCCCTAGCGTTTCAGTGAAACCCAGCTGTTAACAATCAGCCGTGAATTGCAAATGCCGTTGAAAGGAATCATGTGTAACCATTCACTATTTTAAAAATTTTTTTCGGTACTTTGTTTTCTTTAAACAGACATACCAGACGTACCCAGAAATCATTTTGATGTGAAAGTCTGCCGGCGTAAACTTGCAGAGCATTACAAAAGAACCGCCACGGTGCCTACTTCTGTGTGGTCCAAAAAATGCCCCATGAATATTAACGAAATCTACACTCGATTAACCTGGGTGAAAGAGGAACAAACCCCAGGTGGGCCATCACTGGCTCTGCTGAATCACTACACTGATATGTTCACTGAAAACAAGAACGGATTGCCATCAAACAGGATACTCGTGCAAGGGGAGACGGGAATCGGGAAGACCACGTTTGTTAAGAAACTGGCTTTGGACTGGGCTGAACTTGGTGACGAGAAGATGACAGACAAACAGAAAGAGATCCTGAAGAAGTTCGAACTTGCAGTTATCATTGATCTAAAAAAAGTATCTAAACACCAAAGCCTCAGAGATATCATAGGTGCCTCTCACATTTTTGCTAAGGAGGACGCAGCCATGGAGGAAGGTCTGCTGAGTTACATAACCCAGAACCAAGACAAAGTTCTCCTGGTTTTTGATGGCTACGATGAGTATCACTATGGAACTAACTCTGAAATCTTTGAGATATTCAGAGGAAATCAGCTAAGGGACTGTTGTGTGTTGATAACAACTCGAATTTCCAAAGCTGACGAGCTCAAAGAATTTAAGGACGTGCATGCTAAGATCATTGGGTTCATTGAAGAGGACAGAGAGGCCTTCATGGAGAGAATACTTGATAGCGAAGATGAAGCAATTATTTTAATGATGCACCTTGGGTATCTTGGTTTGGAAGATTTGGCGAGAGTTCCGCTACTTCTCCTCTTTTTTTGCACTCTGTGGAAAAAGAGAGAGTTAACGATGAATCGTGACACCACAACAAAAGTGTACGAAGCGATCGTCCAGTGCGTTTTGGATCATGATGAAGGGAAATGTTCTTCTGCGAACTTTCCCAAAGTTGAAGATTTCAAAGAGATCTTGACTGAAATCGGGAAGGTGGCTTTAGAATGTCTTTTGAAGGACGATCATGTATTCGAGTATGATCAACTGTCCCCTGCTATCCTTAGAGAACAAAGTCGCATTATCGGCTTACTTCAAGTTAGTGAGTACACAGAAAATCGTCGACCAGCAGGGATGGTTTCGTTTATTCACAAGAGCATACAAGAGTTCTTAGCAGCGTGGTTTATTACCTACAGATGTGTCCCTGGAGGAAATCTCGGTGAAATTATTGACCGCACCCGAACTTTGGACGACTTTAGATCGTTAGCAAATGTTTTTCGATTTGTTTGCGGTTTGTCTGATGATGGAGCAGTGAAAGTTTTTGAACATTTGAAATCGGTCAGAATTTCTGACCCAGAACTGGATTTGTCAAGAACGATACCTGATGGGACAGACGAGCCACTGTGTGACATTAAAGTGAAGCACGTTGGTTTTACTATCTTAGTTAATAATTTATTTGGTCAAGTTCAATCCAAAACTAAAGTTGTAAGAGAATATTTAAATTGCACTGATGGGATAATCTTCGTCTTCGAGAGAAGTTCAGTTCATGAAATTGTAACAAATTTAAATGGAACTACTCTTAATGGTGTGGTTTGGTGTGGAAGCACGACTTTACATCATACTAAACTAACGGAAATGTACGAGTTGATCAAGTCTCTCAATTGTTTACACGTTCCCCTTAGGATGACTGAGAATTCAGAGGAAATTGGGGAATTTTTAGGAAAGTTTAACGCTGTTAAATGTGCTTCGGGTACAAAGTGTGATTTCACTTGCATTCTTCATTACCATAACGGCCAGCCGTTTTTTTACATCACTAGTTTGGACCTGAATTGTAATGACCATGCTGGAGTATTTTGTAACACTCGTATGACTTCTACTCCATCTCACTCAACAAGTTCGTCAACTAAGGAATTCTGTTTGAAATTTCTAAGTACACTTGACATTTCTGTACCTGTCAACCGCGAACAAATAGTGAAATGTCTTGTTACCATTTTTAGAGATTGTAAGAATTTAAAAACCATTTCATTTGGGCATGTAACTAAAAGTACTTGTGAACTTCTTGAATATGTACCAAACCCTCGTACGTGTCGGGTGAAGCTTGGTGATTCATTAACCTTATTTAATTCCGACGGGCCGTCGCTGACGTCAGCCGACGTAATGAAGCTCGCTGGTTTGTTACCACAGATTGACAACCTCATCAGCCTTGGCCTTAAATTGAATGACTGTTGTGCTGAAGCAGTGACCAAACTTGTTCGTAGTATCACGCACAAGACTCTTGAGGAACTGACACTGCATGGCATAAAACTGACTGAAGTCACAGCCGCCGCCCTTGGTCGGTTACTTTCTGAAATGTCGTCCCTACGTAAGCTCTCGTTGTTAGAACCTACAGGACTTGACACAACATTTCTGGTTTTACAATGGTTTAAAAGCTCCGATGTCAGCGCAGGAGGTTGTCGGTTTTTCCCCAGCCTGCAAATTGTATCTCTTGCGCGTTTAAATTTGCATGAGCGGGACTTACGTGAGCTGTTGGAGAATTTGAAATTAATTCCTAATCTGAGGGAGTTGACGCTACCTGAAAATCCACTGGGTGACTCGGAAAGGGTACACTCAATGGTGGAACAAGCACTGCCTCAGGTTGAGTTTTTTTATTGGTAACGCCAAGTTCATTCACTAAGTAAAGAACACAGACATGAGCACTGACAGAAGGAATGATAGTGCTGCTTCGTACATTGCCTAACGTCATAGAATGTCCATTGATAACAACAGGCGATGGAAATAATCACAAGTTTACTCTTTGGATGATTCGAGGTTACATTTTATTCTCAGGTTAGATTCAAGAACTTTTATTAGTGTTCTAATTTTTACGTAAAAAGTTTGGAGTGTATTTAGAACTTTCAAAAGGTAATTAAAAATTTGTAGAAATTAGGATCAGCCTGTCAAAGCTTTATTTTTTTATTCGTAAGTGAGGGGAGCGCGTAGTGTTAAGCGCACAGAGCGAGAATCCTCAGTTGCGGACCACAAAAAACGAAGAGAATAATTTCCTCGACGAGTACTTACTAAAAAGACGGTTTTTCGACTTCTGCCTAAGTTATTACCTTATTTTTGTCACTTTGTCCCTCACGTCACTACGAAATGGCTCGTCATGTTAAAGTTGATTTGAGTCTCTGCCACAGACAAGCCCAAATCCTCTTTGCTTTCATAATTAGAGAAGGTAAAGGTGTAAACAAGAATAGTTTTAATATTTGGAAAAAAGTGTTTTTCAGTGCAATCATAGCATGCAGTAACGTGGTCGGGCTCAGAAAAAAACGCTTTAAACAATGAGCTAAGACAAAGTGGATGGTCTGTGAACATGGCACCATAGGGCGTTTTCTCTTAAAATTTACACTGAAAAATTAACATTTCATTGCATCCTGGTAGAAGTCCAAAATTTAGAGAGATTAATTTGGAAGAGTTTCCTCCATGGTCAGAAATAGTTTATTTTCTCAAATTGGCCTGTTCATAGTTCCCTTCATACTTCTGTCATCATTAGGGAACACTTAGAGGGGGGGAATTTTGCCCTGGCAGTTTTTTTTAGATAAAACTAATCCTGCTAGGCATGCCTCTATCCCCCTTCTTTGTTGGCTGAAGTTGAGGGGTTCATCTTTAGCCAACCCCTCCTCCCCTTCCCAAACTCAAAAATTTGCTGATTGACTGAATGGACACAGAGTGCTTGTAATAAAGAAGGGGTAAGCTCCTAAAGAAACTTAGGTGCTGCGTCGGGGTAGAGGGAAGTATAACAAGATAATTTGATTTTATTAACTGTGTTGATAATGTAAATTGGCGCGCGTAAACAGTTTCTAGGTGTTTTTTGTTTTTCTTCAGCATCTTAGCAGGCCGAACTATAAAATCTGATTGGCTTTAATCTCATGCTTGTAACAAGTCAAGCTTTTAACCACATTCAAAAAAGTTATTTAAAGCTATAGGTTTGTCAGCCCATACTCAAGACCGCAGTTACTGTTTCTTCTTACACTAAACTCCCACCCAGTAATTAGCGTTTATTTATGCCTGACTCCTTCTGCTGCCAAGCAAAAAGCTCCCCAGAGAACTCAATCAGTTTTCCTTGGGTAATAGCTTTCTTACCACATTTGTTGTTCTAAAGAAAACAAAAACAACTGTTCTTTAGTGACCCAGCCAAAATATGAAGAAGGATGTAGTCCATATTGGAATATCCCACTTCCAGTGTGGTATCTGAATTTCTCTTTCATTCCCCACCTGGCATGCATATTTACACCAAAATATAATATTGCTATTGTTAATATAAGATCTGTGCTGCAACAAAATAAGGAGGAAATATTACCCCCTGAAACATCACTTTAAGCACACAAGAACAACTACCATTTACATTCCAGATTAGATGTTTATTTCATTTTCATCATTTACAGCAAAAAATCATTTTATTTTAATTGAAAACTAATTTTCAGCTCAATCAAAACTCCACTCTAACCATGAAATACAATTCAGCAATTGCTACTCATTCCAAATAATCACTCGCTGAAACAAAAAGAAACAATAATGGTCAGTTATTTGATTCCAAACAGGTCAGGGATTACTCTGTTCACTGCCCTCTTTTAGCTGAACTGTCAGATTAAAAATCCCGTTGAATTTTCCATGTTTGTTGACAAGGGTTCCTGGGATAATTTTAGGTGGCAATTGACCAAAAGTTGGAACTGAAGAGATTTTCTGAGGGGAAAGGCTATGATTTTGGGTCAAAGTTGATCTCAACTTCAAAACCCTCTCTCACATTGGAGAGCCTTAACTTGCTCCAGGGAGATTTTGCAGAACCTAAAAGCCCTTATCTCTGAGCCTGGAGGATAATTCATGTGCAGCTTTCTGGCTCCATCAATATCCACCACTTTTACAGACACTTCAGTGGATTATTGTTTCTATAATTAGTAAATACCACAACAACACAGAGGGCAACTAATTAGCGTATTTCTGTCAATAAACCAAGAAATGGTTAGAAACTGAACTCTTTGTGTGTGATTTTGATTTATTCCTAGTGGGTACTCAGAGGTGAATAGTACTTGCTACTATTCACCAGTGGGAGGGGGGGTTGGCATTTTAAAACCTCATACAATTGTAATAAGGGTCCATCCTTAATTTATCTATTTGTTTAGTTTGGTCTTTTTTTTATCTTAAAATTTGCTGCACAGTCTCAGCCTCTCCTCACTACAGACCTACAGCAGTTAGTATTGTTGCAAAACACCTTTAAAAGTTACATACCACAGCAATGGAAGAAAAAGAGTACTGTGATGCAATGTAACCAAATGTGAATGTTGCAGTTATTGACAACAGGAAGTTGATTACTGAGGACAACTGTTTGCCACCAGAGCGAACTGAAATGAAGGACATAAGACACTGGTTCAGCAGTGTTTGAGGGAAGAAATTGGTCACAGATATGAATTAAAATGAAATGCTGCAAGGAATCAAATAGTGAAATCCACCAAATGTTAACTATATTTAAGTAATATTACAGAAAAAAGAGTGAGCTTAAATTACAGCTCACCTGAAAGGATCACTTCTCCAACATGAATTATTTTATTAGTTTTTTTTTTTATCAGATTCCACCACAGGAAAACCAGAACTCACCAAAATTTGTATCACTCCCAACCTGTGGCTCTTAAGTACAGTTTGTAGTAGCACTCAACTAGTATCTGGCAGACATGGGTTTGAATCACATTGAAACTAAAATTTTTTAAGCCTCTTTTCTGCAATTGCCATAATTGTAGCTCACCAACAAAGCTCATTTCTCCACTTGAGTTTTATCTGCATATTAAAATGATGTAATTAATTTCAATAAAATAGTCAATACTCACCTTCTTGTCCAAATTGCATTCCATCAGTTTGATGCCAATACAAAGAAAACAAAAAAATGGAAGCTAAGCTAAGAATCAATCTTAATTAGATGAACCAAGCACATACACAAGCTTCAAAATTCACAATTTTTAGGACGACCAAAAAGGACTTGTTGGAGAAAAAAAATATTCCTTTTTGGCACATGTATGTTCCGTTCTTACATTTATTTTTCGGAATTCCTTTTGATGTTAAAAACCAACATTTCATAATTATTGGGCATGTGGCAGTTAAGGTTGCAAACTATGTAACCACCCCCCAAACTGCAAGCATTGCAATATTGAAAGTTTCAGCTTTAACCCACAACACCCTAAAATCAGTATGCATATTCTCCATACTGTTCTCTAGACATTTCCTTAGATGCTGACATGGAGAATTAATTTTTGATTCACGGATGATATAGTGAGGAGAAATTAGATGCCAGTTATTCTTAGTGGTTACAAGGTTAAATTCAGGTCAGTCTACTCTACAATTTAGGTAGATGTGTACATGTAAAGTAAAATTTACAGTCTGATAAAAAGACAGAGGAGAGAGAATCAATGGCTAAATTCAGACTGAGCATTTAAGAAGACTTTTCAATGATCACAATATATTTTATCACCTACCTTCTCTGGTAGTTTTGGTGGCTATACATAAAGTTCATTTCCACAAGGAAACTCGTACAAATACATATTTGAGCTTGAATCTAGAAAGAAACAAAACAAAATACTCTTAAATAAATAAACATTTATTGGTTTGTCTTGCAATGTAAAAGTCAGGCTATCAATTGTGTTGATCATGATGTTTCGACCTCTATACAACTAATCTTCTAACTTTAATACAAATTCCAAATTAATTACATTGAACAATTCAAACTAATTACGGTAGAAAAAAAATACTCCAAACTCTTGATAGAAATAGGATAATTAAGACAAAAAATTGGGACTGAACTTATCATAAAAATAATCAACCAATTTCTTACGATAAAAAATTGGCACTGAACTTATCATAAAAATAATTAACCAATTGAAAGGCTCAGAGCAAGAACGATCCCTTGATTTTTCGGTCATTTTTGAAAGTGTTCAGAAGTAGTTGTCAACTAAGAAATTATTTCTTACAATAAAAAATTGGCACTGAACTTATCATAAAAATAATTATAAAACAATCTCTTGCAATAAGAAATTGGCCCTGAACTTATCAAAAAAAATAATTAAACAATTTCTTGCAAAAGACTGGTAACATGCTAGATTCCCTAACACTGAGAGGTAATTCATCCCATGTTTGGGACAAACCCAAATAAAAACAGAATTCTTAAAAGTTTCTGTATGACTAAAAGGGACATCAAGTGTTAATAATCAATATCTCTCAAAGGCTTGTTACAAGAGCAAAACAATACATGGTCAAAAATATCTAAATCATGTATATTCTTTAACCACTTAAAAAAGAACACTAAATCATGAATTACCCTATGATATTGTGAAGATAATAAATTTAATTTACTAAGGCACTCGTATTCAGTAAACTTCTTCCTGAGAATGAATCTCATGGCCCTGGGTTGAATTTGTTCTAAGTTGGTAATGTTTCTTCCGGTGTAGGGTGACAGCACCCAAGTAATGTAAGGTAACTTTTTAGTTCTAATGTCAGCTATCTCTTTACATATCCTTTAGAGCTAATTAAGCATCCTTTGGGCTTTGGAAGAGATACTATCAACATGGTGATTCCAGCTTAAATCATGGCTGATCAAAATACCTAGATCTCTTTCAATAAGAACACATTCCAACTAAGTTTCACCAAGAAAATACTCTCTCTCACAGATACATTTAAAGCATGCCACCCTTAGAACCTTATTCTTTTCGACATTGAACTAAAAGATAACTACTAGTAGGTGAAAACACTTAGAATCATCACCAAAGAGTGGCAGTGATGTATCCCCTCAAATTACACCATGCATGTCATTTAATATATAGATCAAAAAGAGCAAGGGTCCTAAAATAGATCCCTGGGGGACTCCAGATGTAACTGGAAGAAAATCAGATGCCTAATTATTGATCACAATCCTGTGTCTGCTGCCAGATAAATAGTATCTAAACCAAGCAAACAGGGGAACCCTTGATACCAAGGCACTTAAGCATAAACTAAAGTTTGTCACGGGGCACTTGATCAAATGCCTTGGAAAAATCAAAATAAATGACATCTACCAGTTATCTCATTTTGAGAGCCCTGGACAACTGACGAACTACTTGGGTTAATTGAGACACAGCTGATCTGCCTGGCAAAAAGCCATGCTGCTATTGTGTAATATTAGGGGATGTAGTACCCAAGACCTCAATATAAACTTGCCTTTCCAGTAATTTAGACAACACATCAATAAGTGAAATGCCCCAATACTTAGACACTAGAGACTTAGAATCAGTCTTTTATAAATAGAGATGAGATAAGCGTCTTTCCATTTTTCAGGAAAAGCCCCAGCTCCAAAGCCATATCAAATAATCTACATAAAGAGGGTGAAAGTTCCTCAGCACACTTGTAACAACTTAGGGGAAGGCACAGTGAACTTAGTGGGAAGGTCCAGTGAAGCTTTGTTGATATCAAGTAACTTAAGTTGTTGAAAAATATTGTTAACGCTTAGTTTTAACTCACACAATTTGTGTTGAACACTATAATTAAGTTGGTGAAGGTAATTCAAAGTGCTACCATGATCATTGAATAAATTAGCTTGATCAATGGTCTGGTGGCCTGCATCGATTGATTCTTAATAACCCCTAGAATTTTACTACTTTTTGTAATATGATCAAAATTTACGAGGGTTGTCCTTTAGAACAGCACTAAGGTTACACAAGTGATAACACTTCTAAAATTTGACCATTCACAAAGTCTTCCAACTTTGCTTTATGCCAGATTCGGTTCTTTTTTCTGATCAACTGTAATATTTCTCTGTCAATCCATGGAGGCCTTTTGGCATCCCTGATTAACACCTTATTAACACAACAGAAACATGTGCAGGATGAAACAGGAGCTCTTTGGACAAAAGTAAAAGATTGGAATCTTTTTGAAGCTTATTGTACAGCACCAGCTCAAACAACAAAAGTGGGGAAATTTCCAGAGAACTTAGATTTCTTAGAAGTTGTTGAATTTCTTTTGAAATTGTTGGCTCAATGATTCTTGATTCTAACACCTGGAAGAATACATTGAGTCTGTCAGGTCCTTTAGCAATGACTGAGTCGAGACTGAGACAGTTTTAACTATTATCCATTTTAGTGTGACCAATGACAGCCTTAAATCTTTGGTAATCAATTCGACAATGTCTGAACATAGGTATTCAGTTTTTATAAATAACAGACAGACAAACAACCAAAACAAAGGCACTTTACAGATTTGTGCCAAAAATAACATCATCATTTTGCCCATGTCAAGTTTTTCACAAACCAGCCACTAGATCTGTAAAATATTGCTACTGACCAGAGTCCTCAACACAAGGCTGTATTTTGGTGTTAACTTCATTGTTTGATTTCCAAGTGGATGTAACCAGGTGGTATTGGAACTTTGTGTTGTATAATTTAGGTCTGAAACCTTACTTAGAATTTCAAGTTCACTAACTAAACATTGTTGGCTTGTTAGATATGAAAATTTGCTGATGATTTTGAAATCTTGCGAATAATTTTGAAATCTGACAAATGATTCGAGACCAAATTGCACTTCACTCCATTCAATCAACATCATTCAGTACAGTGAGCTCTCATTAGCTGCTGGTTATTTTTTCCTAGTTCCAATTTAATATGAGCATTTTCTGTTTAAGTTGAAATCTATGACCATTAATCAAACACTGTTTCAAATTATGGTTAATTTTACCTTAAACTGAGTCAAAGGAATTGCCTCTGGTCTCTTTAACCTGGGGTCCTCCCATGTTGTCTTGTTTGTAGTGTGATCAATAAAGTAGCTGTAAAAACATGACCAATAAAATAAATATCTAATAACCATTGAGGGCTTGTGTAAAAGTAAATCAGTAAATCTTAAAAATTGATTATAGTGTTCATTAAGTCAATAAAAACGATCAATCTTAATTAAATAACTACAGGTTTATTTGTGTAATAAATGATTGGTTTTTTATCAGTCTTGTGCTAATAGTATCTCAGTTATTTCATAAAGAACAATAACTCTCTATAAACATTATTTTATTATCCATTATTTGGTTTTGATAATAAGCATCTTCATTGAAGGCCAATAACAATATTTTTTCTTTTCTAACAAATAATTTTCCCTTTCACTCCCAAGATCTAAGTATCAATAATCCCAACTCTCTGAAAAACATTTCTCATAATTTTGGCTACAAGAATTTAGCATTAGATCACACAAAATCCCATGGTAGAGTTTTATTTTTTTTCCTATCAACCCTCCGCTTAAAAATGTATTAACAGGTATTGTAAGGAGATAACCCTAATAGTCTCTCCCTGCGAGCAAAATGCTTGTCTGGCTTATGAAAATGATAACCAAAGATAGTTTGCTTGTTTCTTGAACTTAGACTTTTAGGGAAAGATTTCCATACAACCTTGCACTATTCTAAAACAAAACATTAGTCCAGAATGTAAACTTTTATTATTTTTTTTATTGTCTCATTTTTTTGAGATCTGTATACATAATGACGTATGGGTTTTTTCTGACATCTTGCCAATAGTTGGCTAACTTTTGCATTGAAATTAGCCAAGAGTAAACCAAGCAGGACATTTCAAAATCACGACGAGCCAGTAGCTGTTAGCTACAAATACAATGAAACTGTTTTTCATATAATCAGTGTAGTTTATGCATACTCTAGCAAGCACTAGTAATATGCTTCCCGCAACAAAGAAATATTCAGCTTGGCCATCTGTTCAAAAAGCCACGTAGCGACAGCGAACTTAAATGCTCGCGACTTATTAAGGTCAATACGCATTTTTTTGCCGAAACTTTACATTACGAGTCAACTTAAGCATAGATTCGAATATACTTACTATCTTCCGATGTTGCCATCATACTTAGTCTCCCAGCCTGGTGGTAAAGGTTGATTTTGTCATGGTTGGAATTGTGTCCAAGTGTTCGCCATCTTTGTTTTCACTTCTTGACAAAAACATTGCAATTGCTAGGTCGTGTGATTCAACTTCAAATATCCCTTGTAATGCTCGCGAGGGGAAGGCCACTAATCCACAAATAATAATAATAAAAAATAATTGTAATATACTTCCTCTCCGGTTTGCCTTGTTTTTATTGAATCATTCACCGCACAGGGGTTAAGATAATTTCTCACATGCCTCCTAAATCGTTTAGAAATTCTGGGTTTTCAGTACTTATGGAGGAATTGGAAACGCCAGGTCTTCAGCTCCCCTCCCCTCCCCCCGCTCATCCCCTCTTAAACCCCTCCCATTCCACCCCATTGTAAACTGCTTCCATCCAAATTTGTGCCATTTGTTTTTATTTTATAATGAAAAAAGAAAGAAAAATCCACTGGCATTACTTGCATGCTATGATTAGTAACACGGAATAGGGCTCTGGTTATGAATCGTTCAACTGGATTGGGCAGAGACGGAAAGACTTGATCGCGCAGGGGCTGGGACAACATGTTTCACGAGAGTGTTCGCTAAATGTTGTACTTGAGGAACCTTCGATCTACAAAGCGGTATACGACTGGTTTTTCAAAGTTTTAAGGTATGTGTGCTCATACATAAGGCTTATTAATAGTGATTTTCTCTTTCAGAGAGTTTATGTTCAATTTTATTTACGGCAATTTCAGTGTTCTCCCTTATTTTAAGCATGACAGGTAAAATAAATTTTCAAACCGGTAAAGCAATCCTTTTACCTGTTGAATTTTCAAGAATTCCCACTAATTTTAAACGGTAATAATAATAGGTACTACAGACGGTAAATTTTGCCGGTTACTGCCTGAAAAGGAGAACACTGGCCAATGCGCGAGATCACCGAAGCAAACAAATGAAATTACTTCCGCAGTGGAGCAAGGGCTGGCTTAATGTTACGACTTCGTCAAGTTCATTTCCCCTTCCCTTACTTATGCTTAAACGGCATGATTCTCCCCACAGCGTCTCTGAATTGTTTTGTTTTGTCTCAGCTCTTGCCTTGTTCAATCCAAAATTTACCAAGTAGCTTTGTTTATATAACTGAAATGAATATCGATCGTACGAAGGTAATCACTGTACTTGTACTTTGCAACACACCGCTTTATTTTTTATTATTAGAGAAATGGCATCAACAGCTTGATGTAAGCACCAGTTGTAAAGTCTGTAATATGATGAGTATATATAGTCTTGAAAAGTCTTTTAAATCACCGTGAACATGAAATCACCATGAACAAGACTAAGCACGTGCATATTCCAAAACATTCTGGAGTATTCTATCACATTACTTTGCACATATACATGTACTTTCTGTCCACACTCACACACAAAGACTAGACAAAGACTTAATAATAATTTTCAGTCTTTGAAAATTTACCATTACTGATTTTTCCCAAATTGCTCAAGAAAATGCAGGGGATTTCTTGTTGATGATATACATGCAAACATTTTTCTGTCACAAATAATGTAATCGAGCATTTGTACTCTTTCTCTGTCATGTACTGTCAATAGTAGTTAGCACTGCACAGTGGCTCAGGCTTGTAATCCTCCCTGTCTTTCTTATGAGCTGTTGCATAAAACCCTCGAAAAATTTTGTTGAGGGCCCCTGGTGTGTTCTTTTCTATTTAACTTTGATGCCATCTTTGAAATACGAAGACTACCAGACTTCAACCCAGTTGATTTTTGTGTTGTGTGAATTGTTTTTGCTCCAAGCATTTTCTTTCAATCTCTGAATTTTAATGTTGTTTTATTCTCCTAACCTATCTGCTGCTTGGTTTTAATGAGCTTTTGCAACTTTCTCGTTTGGTCATTGTAATTAAAATTTGTTGTCACTCTACTTCAACTTTCTTGGACACTTCACTGACACTTCACTGCTACTTTACCAAGTATGAGTTGATTATCAGTTGATATTTGGTTGAGGGGCTGTTGAAGCATGCCTAAAACTTTGCTCATATTATTTTACTCACTGCCAGCCAAGCCACTTTGTAAGAAAATTGGATAACATTATTTGAAAAGTTAATGAAAGTTTAAAAACGTCTTTATTCCCAAGTGCTGTGACCAGTTTCTTGCAGTTTCTTGTTTGTACATTCTTCTTAGTCCTCTCTTATAGGCAAATTTGCATAGATGCACACGGTTTTATGGAGATGGTGTCATGACAAATAGAGTCAATGTTATTTTGCATCTGTTCAGAGGAAATTTTCCAGAGTGGGGTAGTAGAAGTTGAGAATTAAAAGTCTAATGAGCATTGTCATGTATCAGTTGATGTATCAGTTGACACTAACAATAGCACACATGATCTGGTTCTCCTAATATCAATCTAAATGTTCATTCTATCATTTCTGTAATTTGCACTATTTTATTCTTTCAATTTGATACTCTGAAATTTAGAAGTAGGTGCCAGGCTTTCAAGCCATTTAATTGAGTGAGTTTGTGAATTTTGGTAAAATTGGACAAATTTGTTTTACAGCCATTTTGCGACCTTGTGTATAATTTAATGCATGATTTAACAGGCTTAGGTTAAGATGTTTGAATTGATTCTGTGTTCCACACGTACCTCAAGATATGTGCAAGGATTGGGAAATTTTGACTGTACAGTTCCTATTCTTGAGACAGTGTGATCTGATGAAATAACATGGCCTCCATTGCAATCTTGGCACTTACTATAATGCCTTCTTTCTTGGTGCCATTTTTCTACTGTTCAAAGATTTAAAGGAAATTATTACTGCCACAGGTCACAGAAAATCTGAAATTTAAAGAAAGATTAAATTTCAAGAAAATAACATAAGAAGTTGTTAATCTTGGCAATGCTCCTTGCGTCCAGTTGTCAGACTGCTGAGCACTGCATCGTTTCCCTTTGTAATGTAAATTCAAGTTCATTTGTGAATGAAATCATACATTTTCTTTTCCTTCTATTTTCATTGTTTATTAACATTTTAAATTATCTGGTACATTTCATGGACATGAAAGTTATTGGATTGGTACATTGGAAAATAAATTTGCATAATAAGCTGATGTTGTGTTTCCAAGAAAATCAATCCATTTCCATGTTACTCTGAGGAACTATCAGTTCATATAAACTGTATGTAACATGCTAAAGGTATAAATTTTAAAGGTGGAGAGGACGGCTGTGAGGGAAGGTTCCGAGTTCAGTACTCATAAATGAAATTGCTAATTAACACTTAGTCATGAAAATTTTTATTATTTTTCAAGAAAAATTCAGGGAAAAATGAGTGAATTTTAGAATAATATGATTGTGGCAACCATTTATTATCTTTTCAAGACTATGGTTAATTTTGCAAACATGCTCTTAAACAGATCAAGGTTGTGCCATACTTTCAAGGTTTGGACTTGAAGAAAAACACCACTTGCAAAGCTGTTCGCCTTTTTTTTAGCCTACATTTATGAGTCATAAATAACTCACTGGCACAATACATACACCTGTATTTACTCACAGTTATTTATATTAAGGATACTTCTTGCATGTATTAAGTCAATTAGGTTTTAAAAACTGAGAAAAAGGCTGACATGATATATTTTTTTTAAGAAAAATTTTTCTTAATACATTACAAACAATAAACAATACATTTTCCAACAAACAACATGGGGTTATAATTATACTGGTTTTCCTTGATCCATCCACAACATTCTGAACTCTAATTTGAACTGGAAGCAGTGGATTCTTGTTAGAATGTTGAGGATGAGGAGACACTTACCTCTCACAGTGTCATTCTCAGCCCAAGAGTATAGATGAATATCTGAAAACTATCAGCAGAGGGGAATATTTGACAAATTATAGATTATGGTGGCAGAGGGGCTGGGAATGGGGGGTTATAAGTTCCTGTGATGAAACCAGGTTAAGTTCCTTCAACACTCAGCCACAAAACCCATGACAGGTAATCTGTATTTCCTAAATAAGTTAAAAAATTAAGCTTGAATTAATTGTAATTAAAACTGCATCCTCATGCTATCTCGTTTGCTTTCCAGAGATCTGGTAGCTTTCACTTTATATGCCCGATGGGAAAGTGAAACACTTGCTCTACTGATGGAGAGTTATAGGTGTGGTCAGACAATGGAGTTGCATGGTAATTTGTCAATGTGAAGTTGATGAAGATGAAGAAATGCACTTATGATTAAACCTCAATATTGCACTTTTAAAATTCTTTAATATGATCGGTTCGCTACATTACATCCATGCTTTCATTATTACCTAACAGCATACTTCTCCCCCTCAGAACATTTTGTGGCTTTTGACAGCTAGCTGTTGGATCTGATTATGACCTTAAATTTTTGTTTATCTCTGGTTTGAATGTTCCTTTTCATTTATTCATTGTATTTCCTGTTGTTTTCTCACATGAAGTGGTATTATTCTGCCTTTTTGCTTTTGTTCTTGTTTGCTAAGCCTACTATCGGCACAGGTGCTTGGGATACATGATTTAATTCATTATTCAAACATTAAAGCTTTGGCGAGTAGCACAGATGATGCTACATTGGAGCATCTTGAATGTGCTCCTGGCTTAAGTCATGTGTTGGGTTATCTTATTATCTATTGCTGTCACTTATTACAGGGTCAATTACTTAAATCTGACCAGTAGGATTTGATTTCTAAATTCTTTGTCATCTTTGCTTGTGGTGGTCCTGAGAACTGATTGGCACGATTGAACTAGGTTGAAAATGTTTGTTTCCTATGATGTGATCTGTTTATCTCTTGGACAAGACCCCAGTAATAGAATTTATTCCTTTCTTTAATAAAACTAGGCACACCAAATAATGATGAACTACAGGAATTAGGCAAAAAAATTGGTGTCAAGTGGGATACGCTTGGGCGTCGCCTGGGAGTGGAGGAGCCAGAACTAGAGAATATAGAACAAAGACACAAGGATTTGGAGAAGAGAGGATACGCCATGTTAATGCACTGGAAACAGAAGAATGGTTCTGAGGCAACTTATCAAATTTTGAAAGCTGCTTTACAACATAAACTCGTGCAGCGCAAAGACTTAGCAGAGCAAATTTGTGACAATCACGGTAATTATTTTCAAAAACTTTAATTAATTAGAAATAATTGAAATGATTTATTCCGTGACAGTGAATTTTGTACTAAGCAGACGCTGGCCAAAGTTTGGTTTCCTTTTCCCATGTTTACTGTAAACCAAACCTGCTTTAAGAGGACATCGCTATTAAGTGAGGACATCGCTATTAAGTGAGGACATCGCTATTAGGTGAACGCATGCAGACACTTAAATTAAGCCCATC